AGAGCACTTCAGTTTGCTGGAATTGGATGACCTGGGACAATTGGATGACCTGGGACAATTCCTACTAGGGTGCACTGTCTTATTACAAAAGGTAGGTAACAACACTTGCTGTTCCTGCCTCATGGGGTTACTGTGAATCGCAAATGAGCTCATGGATTCACACACTAGCTACTTATCGTGATGGAGCTGATAGGAGCTGGGGAGCTGGCAGTGGGGAACAGAGTAGGTGTGGTCTCTGCCCTCACAGAGCTGGTGATTTGGTCGGGTAGGAGAACATGCTGTAAATGCTGGTTGGTGTTGTGTGACTGTCACGGTTATCACAGAGCCTTCATTCATTTCATTCATCCATTCATTCATTCATTCATTCATTCATTCGGTGGTCAGCCATTTATTAAAACCTGAAGTGCCTCTACTATGTCAAACATTAAGCTCTAAGCTGCACATGGGGAAGCAGAAATAAATGAGCCAGAAACTTCGTCCTCAGGGAGCTTTTAGTCTAGCCAGAGACAGAGATACATCACCGGGTGATTCCATTTAGAACACACTCTGGCTGGTGCTCTAAGTTGGCACAGGGGGCTATGGGGGTACAGGTAAGTCAATGAAGAACTTTGCTTTTAAGGGTGATTACAAGTTCACAGGCTGAGAAGAGGGAGAACAGCGCTGAAGGCTGAAAGAACAGCTGGGGAAAGGCAGGGGGGCATGAAGGCACAGCATGCTTTTGCCATGACCAGAAGGTAAAGAGAATTTGGAGGAGTGCCTAGAGACGATTTTGGAGTAGTAGCTTGAGGCCTGGTCTTAGAGGCTAAGGAATCTGGTCTTTATCCCTTAGGAAATGGGGAGTTCCTGAAGGGAGAGAATTGACGCAAGTGAAGATCTTTAAGAGCAGCATGGAAGAGACAATTAATGACTTGAGGCAGAAATACCTTTAAGAGGCTCTGAGAGCAGCTTACGGGAGAGATGAAGTCCTAACTGGGATAGTGGATGTGGCGACAGAAACGGAAGTAACAGAAATTAAGGAAGGTAGCATTGACAGGACTTGGTGGGCACATGAATGGGGTGGTGAAGAGAAAGGAATCAGGAGGCAGAGATGTCTGTAGATGAGGAGCAAAGTCCAGCTTGATGGAAGAATTAGGGAGTTGTGAGGTGATTGGAGTTGTGGGAGTGAATGAGACTGTGAGAGAGTGTGCGGTGGAAAGAGAATAGGGGTAGGAGTGGCACCAAGGCACCAATAGCAAAGGGATGGGCAGCAGCGATGAGTCTATGAAGGAGGTTGAAGGATGCCAAGAGGCAGTTCTGCTTTCCTTCATTCCTTTGGGCATGGAGAGCAACAATGGAGTGGTCACAACTCATCACCCTCCAGAATCATCGCTAGAAAGGGCCCTGGGGTCACCACCCTTGAAGCCCCAGAGTGAGTGGGGCCTGAGGCTGGGGCCCCTGAGAACATGAACTGAGACAGGGATGGACATGGATGGATGGACGACAGCCCTTGTCTCCCTCTCCCTCCCTCTTTCCTCCTCACAGATGGTAATGTCCAACCCTTTCACAAATCATTGTTTTTCTCCGAAGGAAAACCAAAAGGACAGAAGAGAAGGAGAAACAAAAGGCATGCTTGAGTTTGTTTAGTTTTTCAGATCAGATAAAGACCCAACACCACCTAACACGAAAGAAAACCTCCCACCGTGTCCTAAATTGACTCCAATGAGCTCATTCTCTCATTGTCATTAAGAGCAAAGAGAATCAGGTTCTATCATGATTAGCCAAAGGAAGATTTTACAAAACAAAACAAAAGAGAGGAAATGGCCCTGGAATTGTGCTGTCTGGTTCATGCTTTTCCATAGAAAGAGGCCTGTGGTTTTAAACTGATAATGGCTCCTAGCAGCCCAATAATTGATGTATCTGGTGTTCTGGCTTTGAGGGAAAAGTGAACTGGCCTCTTTAGAAATGTTGGCAGCCTGGCTGGTCCATTAGTAAGACTCAAAACTCAAAACATTGACTGGAAAAGGCCATTACGACTGGGCTCAGCAGGAGTCATCGATAGATGATGTCATTTCAGAAATAAGTAAGCCAAGGTCATGAAGCCCATGAGCAGGGTCAAAACACCCTTCACGACCCATCACCATCCTCCATCGCAGATACTGGTCTGCCAGAGACACATGGGTCTGAGCCAGGATCTCCTTCATTTTACCTTTTTTTGCTCATTCCAGGGGATGAAGGCCACCTGCAGAGTCTGTGACATTCTGCAAGTCACTACGGAAGGTCCCCAGTCCTCATTATGGGCACACCTTTTAGATTCTCCTTTAACTCTCTCCTCTCTACTGGGTTCTTCTCACTTCTTGCCATACTTTTTATCCTAGAATGCCTGCCTCCCTTCTGTCCCTTGTCCTCAGTTCCTGCTACCTTGCCTCTCCCTTCCTGTCTGGTCCAAGCTTTTAGAAAGAGTTGCAGGCTCTGTGGAGAGCCTTCTTCAGCCTACAGCCTGAAGAAGTGGAGAACTTCTTCAGCTCCCGTTAGCTCCTGCCTTTGCCCCTCACCACAGCTAATTATATCATTGCAATATCAGGCTCTGGGCTGAGGACTTACCCTGAATCATCTCACTTAATTCCCACAAGCAGCCCCTGTGAAATGGGGCTACTGTTATCTCCATCGTATAGAGGAGGAAACAGGCTCAGACAGGCTGGGTCACTGGCAGATCCCGTTTTCTGAGCCTGCTGCAATGCCCTGGTCAAAGTCACTCATGATCCCTGCCAATCCTGATGGTCCTTTCCCAGTCCTCATCCCCCACTCCTGTCTCTTCACAGCAAGTGACACTGCCCACCTCAGTCCTCCCTTGGCACTTGGGAAAGCCAGTCTCTCTCACTCCTTCCCCAGCTCCTCCTTACAGGATGGGTCACGCTAGAAAGGCTTCCGGGGGGAACTCCAAGCCCTCCCCACTCCAGGTCCACTAGAGACCATCTTGTCCACCCCCTCATTGTTCAAGGTTGCTCTGAGTGGGTGGCAGAACTGGGGCTGAAGCCGGGTATCCTAACCTCCAGGCCAGTCCACCTCCCAGTGCTCAGAGCTGCCACACCTACTTTGTGTTTTCTGTTTTTGCTGAGCTGCAAGAATACGCCCTACCCTGGAGGAGGGAGAAGGTGTGAGACCCTGATAAGGTGGGGCGGAGGCTATTTTTAGAGGACACTGGCTTTCCTCTTAGGCTGGGAGGAACTCAAGGGCCAATGACTTTCTAAAACACGGGTTTGTAAGACTAGCTCATTAGAGACAATACACCAAAGTGACAGTGTTCTTGTTTTCACTCTGCCTGTTGGTTGTGTGGCTCTAACTGATGGAAACTGTAGTATTTAGCTCCGTTTCCCATTAATTCTTTATCTGTAAGTCTTTGAGATGGCTTTAGAAAAAAAACATATAATAGAACGTAAAGTAGAAGCAAAAAGGAAACCTCAGGATGAGGGCACTATTGTCCAGACAAGGTAAAGTCCAGAAGAGCAGCAGATTCAAGAAGAGGGGGCATTGATCAGGCACTGCCAGAGCTCCCGGACCTGCCTGAGCAGTGGGAAGGGTTCAGAAAGAGATGGGAAAGGCTGGGAGACTGCAGACCTTCTGGCGTGACAGGTCCTGTGTGACCTTGAGCAGGGGGCTCTGCGGCCCTGCACGGAGGACAAAATGGCAGTCACCTCTGGAAGAAAGATGGGGTGGGGGTCCTAGGGGTTCTCACGCTGAGGGCCCAGCACCTGGGTTCAGGGTCTGGTTCTGCGATTCAGACACGGAGGAGCTTGGGCCAGGTGGTCTCCGAGAGTCTGAGGACATAGGGCGAGGGCCGGAGACAGGGTCTGTAATAGCAGCGGTGGGTGAAGGGTGTAGGAGGGGGCGGCGCTGCGCAGGTTGGAGGACGCATCACAGGCGCGGTATAGACCGGGAAACTGTGGCCAGGGAGCGGCTGGACTGGAACACCTACCCCTGCCCAGCTCATCGCATCTGAAGCTGTGTGGCTCACAGGCTGCTTTGCCAAGGCAATGGCGGCTACGCAGCAGAGAGATGCTCATAGGCACTCCAAAAGTGCCCTTCCTAGGATTGTACGGCTTAGGATATCCAACGGCCTTAGTGGGTCCCGGGATCGAGTCTGGGGCAGCTAGTCTCCGATTTCTGCAGCCTCTCTGGATGTGTGCGGTTGGGACCCCAGCGTCCCAGGCCGGAGCGGGTGAACAGGTGGGGGGAGCGCAGGCGGTCAAGAGCGCCCGGCAGCTCTCAAGGCCCGGGATCCCAGCTTCATCACGGCTACCAAACCTCGCCCCTACAAATGGGAAACCAAGATCCCGAAACAAGAGGGGGATTGCCAAGGCGATGCCAAGAGCCGGCGACAACCTGGGGCTCCCGCCTTCAAGCTCTTTCGAGCTCCACTTGGCCGCGTAGCGCGTGTCGTGGTGCTTTAAACCTTGTCTCCCGCAGTTTGGGAAACTTCTCCTGCCCCAAACACTCTTAAGTGCGAACCTGGGCTCCACATCCAGTCGAGCCCTTACGCCCCCATTCCCACCCCCAGACTCTTGCAGGCGGAGAAGAGGCCGCGCCCCCGAGCCCGGCTCCGGCCGGCACCTGTACCCAGCAGAGCGCCCCGCGGGCGCAGAGCCCCGCCGCGCTGGAGTCCTGCGGGCGGCGGGGGCGCCCCTCCGCCAGGACCCCAGCCCGGGGCACCGCTCCTCCAGAACCCTGGGTCTTTCTCGCCTTCACAGACGCGGTGCGGAGGTCCAGAGCGGAGGGCGCCCTGGCCAGGACTGCGAGCTCGGGGAGGCGGGGTCGCTAACGCTGGGCTCGGGACCCCGAGACCCGGGCTCCCCAGCCCCAGAGGCAACCCGAGGCGGCAGCTATTTATAGAGGGAGCCACGCTCAGTCCCTCTTGGCGGCGGCGGCGACAGCTGAATATTTTGCCCAGATATGGCTGAGGCCCCGGAGCGGGGGCAGGGAGCCCCGCGAGCGCGAGGGGGACCCCAGGCGGGGTGGGGGCTTACCCGGACGCAGAGCGGCTGGGCCGGCGCGGGCGCGGGCGCGGGCGGCGGGCGGCGGGACCGGCTCGGGCAGCGGGCAGATGGACGCGAGCGGCGGCCGCAGTGCTCCGGCGGGCAGCGGGCGGGCGAGCGCAGCGCGGGGCTGGACAAGCTCCCCGGCGGCCGCGGGCGGGCGGGCGCTGTGGGCTCCGGGGGTGGGAGCCAGGGGCGGGCCCGGCTCGCGCTGTCACCGCGCCCCGCCCCGCCCGCCGCCGGTTCCCTCCTTCCCTCCCCCTCCACTCGGGGGCGCCGGGGCGCAGCGCACCTCCCCGTCGGGAAGCGGCCCTGGGAGGGGAGCGCCGGGGAGTCGGGCTGCAGCCGAGCTAGCGCGGGCCCCTGCCTGGGTCTGCGCTTCCCCGCTGGTACCAGGAAGAGTTTGAACAACGGTAGAGTTTTGTGGGAAAAGGTGGGCAGATTTGCATTCCTGTGGGGTCCAGAATTTAGATTTCGAGAATCTGAAGTCCCCAAAAGTGATGGACCAATGCCAGCTAAGCGGCCGCTGCATCTTCACCTCTGATTGAAGCGCCGCTCCCTCAGTCTCCCAGCAGCGCGGCCAGGTGGGCTCTGAGCCGCAAGCTTTAACAGCGATCGTTTTGTCAACACGTAGTTCCAACACGCAATCGAATGCATTCTCTCTACACTGAGAGCGAGTGGAGTGTCTAAAATACTGATTTTAAATGACCACAACAAAATGACCACAACAAAAAGACCTACGTTCTTAAAAGCTTTTTTTTTTTCCCCAGAACAAACCACTTTAGGTGGTTTATCCCAAACACAATTTTAAGTGTTTTAATAAACAAAGGGCTCATGCAAAGGAATTTATAAAGAAATAGGAAAACGTCTTATTTTGGATTATTATGGGAGAACTTTCGGTAGGATAGACCTTAATAAAATCAGCTCTTAATCCTGATGTATAGATTATTAATGAGAAACACTCATTAACCAAATTTTGTTTCTCAAGAAAATGAATTCCTCTAAAATCCTCACAATTGTAACAGAACGCTGTTTTCAAGGGGTATATGCCATACATTTTAAAATAAGCAATGATCTAATATTTCAGATTATTTTAAAACAATTTTGTTGTGAATCAAACATATAAGAACATACAAGTTATGTTGTATGTGTAAACAAAATAAATGTGCAGCTTCATGACTTTTTACAACGTGAACCCCTGTGCAACCATCACTCAGATAACATTGCCCACAGCCCAGAAGCCAACCTGTCCCTCCTGGGTCCCAACTCCTCTCTAAAGATGATCACTTCCTTGACCCTTACGGTGATCGTGTCCTTGTTTTTTTCTTCCCTCTGTAGTTTGTCTTCATTTATTCAAATCTGTTGTTAATCTGTGGTTTCACGCAGCTGTGGTTTTCCATTGTATGACTATACCACAGTTTTTCAAAAAAATCCATTTGACTATTAATGGGCATTTAGGTTGTTTGCAGGTTTTAGCTATTACAAATAGTGCTGCTGTGAACATTCCTTGCCAGAATCCTCCTGTCCACGCGCACAGCCTGCTTTTGGAAGTGCTGGGTGATAGAGAAAGCCTAACCTCAACTTCAGCAGAGATAAGGCTGAACTCTGTCGTAGTACCATTGTACAGTGCAGTTTCTCATCTTCAACAACACTTGGAAGTAACAAAAATGGAAACACTTTAGAAATTCTGGTATGTGAGTAACGGTATCTCATTGAAGTTTGAACTTGCATTTCCCTATATCCTAATGGGTTGAGCATCACTTCATATTTACTGGCAATCCTCCTGCCTTAGCCTCCCAAAGTGCTGGTATTACAGGTGTGAGCCACTGTGCCCAGCCTCATGTTTAGGTTTTCTTTTCTTTTCTTTTTTTTTTTTTTTTTTTTTGAGACAGGGTCTCTGTCATCCAGGCTAGAGTGCTGTGGCGTGATCTCAGCTCACTACACCCTCTGCCTCCTAGGCTCAGGTGATCCTCCTACCTCTGCCTCCTGAATAGCTAGGACGACAAGTGTGCACCACCACATCCAGCTAATTTTTTGGTAGAGACAGGGTTTTCCACGTTGCCCAGGCTGGTCTCAAACTCCTGGCCTTAAGTGATCCACCCACCTCAAAGTGCTGGGATTACAGGCATGAGTCACCATGTCCGGCCAATGTTTAGGTTTTCAATCCACCTGGAATAGACTTTTGAATATGGTATGAGAAAGGGTTCACATTTCATTTGTTTGTGTCACACTGACTTAGCACTAATTTTGTAGTTACATCAAGAAACAATTTATTGCTTTATTTTAAAACGTAACGGAAACATTTCTAAAGTCAGTGAAATAGAAACTACCTTTTCCTAACTTGTAGACAATTTGAGGATTTTTGCATTTTTTTGGTTAGGGAATGAAACAATGAGTTTTAAAAAGCTAGAGATAATTTTGACATGTTTAAAATGAAAAACTTCAAACATCTGGTCTCTACCTTCTTCTTTCTGTTCTCATTTTTTCCTAGATTTTTCTTAAATAAAAACAAACAAATAACTTTGAGAATTTTTATTTCCAGCCTGGATTTTGCCCCTGAAGTTTATTCCACATTTCCAAGATTCTGCATATCTTCACGTGGAAGTCTATTAGCTCAAATTCAGTGTGTTCAAAATCAAATTTTTAAGCTTCCCACTCCCCTACTCCATCTGAGTAAGGTCCTAGGCTCTCATACCTTAAGACTTGGCTTCACTCTTCCCAATTTGTATCTAAGCTGTCTAATAATTATAATGAAAAACTTTACAAGGTCACAACAGTTTTTCTTCAACACCATTTCTCCACTCTTAGTCCAGGGCCTCCCTACCTCATCTCTGGACCACTGCTAAAGCCTATAACCTGTCTACCAATCTATTTGCCCATCAATTAGCAAGCACAAAAGGAGTGCCTGATGTGTGTAAGATGCCATTCTGATGGCTGTGGATGCTCAGACGGTGGTGTGCTGGAGAGCCTGTCATATGGGGTCTCAAGAGCTGCTTAGGGTGAGTCTCTTCCCAACTCCACATTCAGTCATGTCATATTATTAGCTGAAAATCAACAATGGTGGGACTATTTATGATATGAGAATTTTCAGACACTACAAATCAAGGCTTAGCTCCCCACCTAACAGAACCAGTTGTCAAACATTTTCCAGTATATCACTGGAGATGACTAAGACTCGTCCTTCTTTCAGGGGGGCCATGATCTAGCTGGGATACTCGGTGCACAGACTAGTCATATACTATAAAGCACAGTGACATATGGGCACCAAGAAAGGCATGATCAAAGTACGATGGAGTAGAAAGGGGCACCAGAAAAAGCTTTATGGTTGGCCCAGGAGGTTAGGCAGGACACTGACAAGCAAAAATGATGGGAGGAGAATGAGATGCAGGTTGACAGAATGGAATGAGCAGGAGTTCAGTGACCAAATAAAGGTACAGTGTGGCAGGGAGTGGTAGATAAGGAGGTTGGGTAGGAGGACGGTGGAAAGCCTGGGTCCTAGCCGGACTCTGTGGGCAACGAGAAGAGAAGCCACTCAGGATTCAGGCTGAGGGTCACGCTGGTTTGCCTGGGCTGCTCCTCTAGAAATGCTGATGTGTTAAGACTCAGGATAAGTCCTCACATGCTTTGGGGATCACTTGCTTTGAGATACACTCTACATCAGGGTAGAGTTCAGTCACAATAGTCTCAGCTTAACTGGAGAAGAACCCAGCTCTGCAAGGAAGACAACATGAAACGGAGGCTTTCATCTTAAGATCATTAAGCCTAGAAATTACAAGGTAGTCAGCTTTTATATTGATAAACATTTTTATTCTAATATTATAGTAATAATTCAAGTACAATTTTCTTCGAAAAGTCAACTCTGTTAAAACGAAACTTGTTAAATATCTTTCATCAAACATAAGCATATTCTTTTCAATCCCCCACAGCAGTCAGAGCCATGTAGCAGAGATAAGATTTTTTTTAAGCCTACTACATTTTGTTATTGCTAAAAAATTTGAATTAGTTGTCAAGGTTTCAGAAGCAGTCATTAATTAACTTTTGAAAGCTCTATCAGATACTCTGACATAAAATCATGAATCCAGATATCGGTGTCTGGCAACGATGTGTCCACTAAATAGACCACTACTTTCCGGTCCCAAGGGTTAGCATTTTCAATGACTGTCTGCACCAGTGCCACCAGAGGTTTCTTCTCCACATGATTTCGAAACACCATCGAAGCCTCCTCAGACCACTGGTTGCACTTCACTCCTAGGAGGAAGACAGCAAGAGGGGGCAGTGAGGAGTCAAAGGAGCTTTTCTTTGATCCATTATGATGGAAAATTATTTAGTCAATCCAAAGTAGCTTAAGCATCCCAGGTTAGACTTGCCTCAACTGAAAAACGGTTACTGAACGATCTTAAACCACTCCAGCTTATAGTTTTTCTACTCTGAATGGAGTCACTCTGGAAACCTTTAACTAAAAAACAAGTTTCATTTGAGACTTAACATTGTATTATAAAATGAGGTAATAATGACTACTGCACAACCCCCATACATAAAGTATATGCATATTTAAACTAATAACAGTCAGAATAAAATGTATCATATTAAATGACATTTCTCTCATTAAAATTTTTTTTCTGATGGACCAAGTATCGTAAAAAAGAAAAAAGAATTATTGTATAATTCATTTACAGTATAGTTATTTAAAATTATACACAGCATCGTGGGAACTGAAAGTCAAGAGACTCAGTTACTATTCCCAGCTCTTCCTCTATCGGGTGGTGTGGTCTTGGGCAAATCAGCTGATCTCTCAGGCCTCACCTACGATAAAAGAACCTGGTTGGATCAGATCATGAGAAATCAAGTTAGAGAATTCTAAATTAGATTTTAAAACAAAGTTGGGACAAGAAAGTATATATTGGCCAGGCACAGTGGCTCATACCTGTAATCCCAGCACTTTGGGAAGCCAAGGCGGGTAGATATCTTGAGCTCAGGAGTTCAAGACCAGCCTGAGCAACATAGCCCCAGTCCTGTCTCTACAAAAAATACAAAAGTTAGCCACGTGTGATGGCCTGTGCCTATAGTCCCAGCCACTCAGGAGGCTAAGGGAGGAGGATCGCTTGAGCCTGGGAGGTCAGGGCTGCAGTGAGCCATGATTGTGTCACTGCACTCCAGCCTGGGTGACAAAGTGAGACTCTGTCTCAAAAAAAAAAAAAAGTATATATATTTCAAGAAACACAATTAAAATTAAGTCCACATATACTGGATTACATAAACTGTAAATTATGCCCCAAAGTAATGAAGGTATGGAAGTTTCAGACATAATTTTGTAAGACTTGCTATCTATATAGCAAATGGGCTAAATTCTTTGATTATTAATCTCCCACAAGAGAAGCCTAGAAATTTCATTTTATCTGCAGCAGCCCTGACAATCTTTGAGCCATGTTATTTAAAAAGAAAAAAGTAACCCATTGGTAAGGTAATAGATGATTCCACAGTATGGCTCCCTTTTAGGATTCAGAAAATTTTATGCACAGCCATGGTGCACTGATGCAAAGAATGCCCATGTCAAGGCCAGATGTAATGAAGCAACAGCTCACTGGGAACCTTGAGAGGGTGGGCATCCAGTGTTCCCAATTGTAAGCGGGTAAGGGGTAATCCCAAGGTCCCTGGAGAATCCTTAAAGCATTCCAATTTAAACACTCAGGACATTCCCATGGGTTCCACTTAAGATTCCACAGAGCTCCTTTGCATCTAGAGATATTCCTAAATATGTCAAAGGGCTTGGCTAGGTGTGAACCAAGTCTACCAAAGTGATGACTCCAATGGCCATGTCACGACCGGTGACTTCCATGAAACTTCTAGTCTACGTCACTTCTCTCTAGTGGATGCCTATGTTGGCCCAAGAGAGAGATACTCTTTACCACACATAGTTTAAAAGTTCTGGTACATATGATTTCAATTAATTATAAAATGGAGGTCCTCCCTTCAAAATGGATAATGTTATGCCCAGGAAGACTTTGTGACTTAGGAGCAAGTCACTAGGAAGAAAGAAGGCTTGGCAGAGGTGAGCCTAGAAAAGGAATTGAGGACATGGATGGGACCCAACAGCAACGCTGTTTCAGATGTAAGTAGACAAAGAAACTTTCATGCATTTGGACTATGTGTTTTAGTTCACAAGGCAATTTCATATTCACTTTTTCATCTGATCCACGTATTAGTTCAGTCACACAGGCAGGATAAGGATTTACTGGTAATTTTATAAATAATCATGGGGTAGGTTTAGAAGTTAAATGACTTGAATCTCGGCCTTTTGACTTCAAAAATCACACTTTTCATGGAGAAGGAAGTATACAGTGAAGAAAGGCACACACTGAAGGGGCAGAGTGCTGAGTTTAAGGCTGTGGGATCTTGGACAAGATATTTAACTTCACTAAGCTGCTGTTCCCTGATGTGTATGATAGTTACAGTAACAGTACTTAAGCCTCCCAGCATGGGGAGAATTCAATGAAATAAAGCAGTTGGTAGAACTCCTGCCTAACGATCTGGCATGTAAAAGCTTAGAAGTTGCTACTGCCTCTTTACAAGAAACAAAAAGCTGAACAAACAGAATATCAACAACTAGCCGGGCGCGGTGGCTCACGCCTGTAATCCCAGCACTTTGGGAGGCCGAGGCGGGCGGATCACAAGGTCAGGAGATCGAGACCACGGTGAAACCCCGTCTCTACTAAAAATACAAAAAATTAGCCGGGCGCGGTTGTGGGCGCCTGTAGTTCCAGCTACTCGGGAGGCTGAGGCAGGAGAATGGCGTGAACCCGGGAGGCGGAGCTTGCAGTGAGCCGAGATCGCGCCACTGCACTCCAGCCTGGGCGACACAGCGAGACTCCATCTCAAAAAAAAAAAAAAAAAAATAATATCAACAACTATTGCTAGGTCCATCAGAGAAGGAAGGTCACAAGGCAATTAACTGTCCCCAAAACCAGAGAGACAGACAGGAAGATACTGAGCATCAAAGCATACTACAGCAGAAACCAATAAGCAGACGCCTGGAAGCCGGAGGAAGGAAACCTAAACTGTAATTGACAAATTGCTGGGGGTACATGTAAATAAGTCTGAGAGTTAAAAACTCCTGGGGAACCCAGTTATAGGGCTCTGACTCCCACACTTTTGAGAGTTTTACCTCCAGAAGCACTACCTGGTACTCACAGTGAATATCAGAGAAAAATCACCTCATGCTTCCAGTTGGGGGAGGAGAAAAGGAACATTTTGAAATACACCAGAGCTTTTCTGTTTTTCTTAACAAGCCCTGTCCTCAGAAGAAACTATTTTACCAGAGCCTGACCTGCCAGAGTTTTATAGAGCTTAACCTTCCTGGGGGAAGGGAAATACCCAACTCCACTCCCCTCTAGCCATCCTGCTCCACCTAAGCTGGGGGGAAAAACCCTGAGGAGAAGTGGTGAAGTTCCCAGTCCAGGGGCACAGGCTCAACAAAAGACTGAGACCTAATCACAGGACGACAGAACATTCCTCACACCCTAGACACACATTACTGCTGCTACATTACAAAAGTCTTATTTACCCAGATTTCCTTTTACCCAATGTATCATGTCCACCTTTCAACAAAGAACTACAAGTGATATGGAAGGGAAAAAACACAGTTTGAAGAGACTGAGCAAGCATCAGAGTCAGAGTCAGATATGGCAGGAATGCTGGAAATAATCAGACCAGGAATTTAAAACAACTATGATTAATATGTACCAGTGTTAATGGAAAAGCAGACAAAATTTAAGAACAGATGGAAAAGGGAAGCAGAAAGATAGAAATTCTAAGAAACAATAAAAAAGAAATGTGGGCTGGGTGCGGTGGCTCACACCTGTAATCCCAGCACTTTGGGAGGCCAAGGCAGGAGGATCACCAAAGTGGGCGGATCACGAGGTCAGGAGTTCGAGAACAGTCTCGTCAACATGGTGAAAAGCCTGTCTCCACCAAAAATACAAAAATTAGCCGGGTGTGGTGGCGCGCGCCTATAGTCCCAGCTGCTCAGGAGGCTGAGGCAGAAGAATTGCTTGAACTTGGGAGGCGGAGGTTGCAGTGAGCCAAGATTGTGCCACTGCACTCTAGTGTGGGTGACAGAGCGAGACTCTGTCTCAAACAAACAAACAAACAAACAAACAAAAAAACCCAAAAAGAAATGCTAGAGGTCAGAAACACTATAAAAGAAAATAAGAATGTCTTGGGCTTCTTAGTAGATTGGACTTGGCTGAGGGAAGATCTCTGAGTTCAAGGATATGACAATAGAAACTTTCAAAACTGAAAAGCAAAGAGAAAAAAGACTGAAAAAAAAATAGAACAAAAATCTAAGATCTATCAAAGGTGTAACAAATGCATAATGAGAATTTCAGAAGGAGGGAAAGGAACAGAAACATTTGAAACAATAGTGACTGAGAATTTCTCCAAATTAATGTCACACACTAAATCACAGATCCAGGAAGCTCAGAGAACACCAAGCAAAGATAAATGCCCCCACCCAAAATATATCTAGGCATATCACATTCAAACTTTAGAAAATCAAAGATAAACAAAAATCTTGAAAGAGGCCAGAAGTAAAAAAACGACCTTATCCATAGAAGAACAAAGAGTCTTATCTTTGTTCTGACTTCTTAGAGAAGCATCTGACTTCTCAGAAATTATACAGCAAGAAGAGACTAGAGTGTTGAAAGGAAAAAAACCTACCAGCTAGAGTTCTGTACCTTATGAAATTATCCTTCAAAAGTAAAGGAGAAATATAGACTCTCAGACAAACAAAAATTGGGAGAATTTGTTGCCAGCAGACCTGCCTTGGAAGAAATATTAAAGAAGTTCTTCAGCAAAGGAAAATAATATAGGTCAGAAATTTAGATTGACACAAAGAAAATCAGAGAATGAGTAAGTGAAGGTAAAGTAAAACTTGTAAATTTCTTTTTCTTAATTCACCTATTAGATAGGGTTTATTCAAAATAATAGCAAAAATGTATTTGGTTCTGTATGCGTGTGTGTGTGTGTGTGTGCATGTGTGTGCATATGTGCTTATATGTAAGTGAAGTAAATGACTGCAATGATACGGGAGCCTGGAGGAAGGAATTAAGATTATTTTGTTATTATACAGTACTCAGTACTTGCACTGTCTATGAAACACTGTAATGTCACATGAAAGTGGACTTGGATTAGTTCTAACTGTATATAGCAAACTCTAGCGCACCCACTAAGACAAGGAAAAAATAGAGGTATAATTGATATCCTAATAAAGGAGAGAAAGTGGCATTACTTAAAATTCTCAATTAAAATCACAAAAAGCAGAAAAAGTGTAGAAGACAAAAATAAGCAAAGAACAAGGAAAACAAATAGAAAACAGTAACAAATATGGTAGATGTTAATCCTACTATAATAATAATCACTTTAAATGTCAATAGTTTAAATACACCAATTAAAAGACAGAGACTGTCAGAGTAAATAAAAAAATAAGAACCAACTACATATTATCTACAAGAAGACTACTTTAACTACAAAGACACATATAGAGTAAAAGTAAAGGGATGGAGAAAGATATACCACGTTAACACTAATTGAAAGAAAGCAGGAGTAGGTATATTCCTTTCAGGCAGAGCACATTTCAGTGCAAGAAAAGTTATCAGGGATAAAGAGGGGCATTACATAACAGTAGAGGGGTCAATTCTCCAAGAAGACATACCAATCCTTAATGTACATGCACCTAACAACAAAGCATCAAAATACATGAGGTAAAAACAGATAGATCTGCAAGGAGAAATGAAAGAATCTACTCTCATAGGTAGAGATTTTAAAACCCCTTTATCAGAAATGGACAGATCCAGAAGGCATAAAAGTAAGTAAGGACATAGTTGAACTCAACAGCATCATAAGTCAACTGGATGTAATTAACATCCATAGACTACTTCATCCAAAACCAGCAGATTATACATTCTTCTCAAGCTCACATGGAACATTCACCAAGACAAACCACATTTTGGTAAATAAAACACACATTAACAATTTAAAAATAATACAATGTTTTCTCTTAGATCACAATGGAATTAAATTAGAAATCAGTAACAGAAAGATAGCTGGAAAATCCCCAAATACTTAAGAGATTAAGCACAATTCTAAATAACACATGAGTCAAAGGATACATTTCAAGACAAATTAAAAAGTATTTTGAGCCAAATGAAAATATAGCACATCAAAATTTGTGGGATGCAGTCAAAGTCGTACTTAGAGGGAAATTTGTAGCACCAAATGCATATATTAAACAGGAAGAAAGCTCTAAAGTGACTGGTAGGTCGCTTAGCACACCATAAGCACCAATAACTCTTAGCCACAATGCTGGTGATGGGGATGATGGTGCCATGCACTCATTCTTCACAGAGAAGCCTTCTCTGGGGAGTATAACTGTCATGTTTAACAAAACGTGTTGTTAGGAAAACCTGAACATTAGAAAGTGAAAATGAAAAAAAAAAACACATTAAATCTGAAGAAGGTTTGAGTCTAAAGCAGACTAACTGGTGGTCATGCTACATGAAAGTGTTATTTTTTCTTTATATCCAATTGCCATGGGCATTTCCTTTGAATTCTAGTAGGAAGACACAGAGAAGCTGGCAAATATTTCAAAATAAGGCAATATATAGCCTTCCAATAAAAGCTGGTCAATAAGTAAAAGAAGAACCTATATATACAATTTCTTTCACTGCTGACATCACATCACTTCGGTCACTGTGTTCCACAGATGGGGCAAGGTGCTGAGGACTGTGAGCAGCAGCAAAGGTATCAGGGAGGCACCCCTCAGCAATTTGGGCCTCAAAACCCTCTGCTAATGCTACAGGCCTCTGGGCTGAGCTTCATCCAGCTGCTCATGCTACATAATGGTAGGATGCTCACAGGGGAGCCATCAACAGTTGCACTGCTTTCCCAAAAGGTAAAAGGGAAGTCTCATTAGACCACATTACAAAGAGGTGTCATTGTATGCCTGTGAAATTGGTTACTCACATTTTAATGATAATCAAGAGGCTGATGTGAATGTGGTGAAATTGCTCACTTGTATGCTATTAGTTGTGCTGCAAACTGGAAACTCACTTGGTCATGAAAATGGTCATATATTCCATGACTCACGAATGTTTTAAGATTGCATAATACTCTATCATGTATTATAATTTATGCAATAATAATAAAGTATGATCCTCCTATTGGTTATTATAATAGGTTGTTTCCATTGTTTTTTGGTTCATATTAGCTAGTATAAAGATGCAGGGTTTTTCTTGATAGTACAATAAAAATGTTCATCAAAAGGGAAGTATTGATTAAATAGAATTTTTGCATGCATTAAAAATAAGTAGGAAAACCATAAAACCACCCAGAAAGTCATTAGAAAACAATACTAGATGAAGAAAAGCAGAATGCAGTATTATACCTGTACTAAGATTACAGCTTTAGAAATACACTCATGCTTGAAACCAGAGACTGAAGGAGTAGGGAAAAGAGAAACAGCAGATATAATGATAGAGCATGACTGTAAGAGATCATTAAAATTATCTCCATTATGGTTGCAATATTATTAGTACAAAAAAACAAAAACCCAACATATCTAAACTCAAGAGGCCAATGATTCAGTACATGCTAAGTACCCAGGACAAAATGACAATATTGTATTGTTGTAGCATGAGTTCAGATTCCACAGAAATTACCTGCAAGTTGAGCTGTGACTGCTTGGAAGGGCAGCTTTCGGAACATGTCCACTAGGGGCTGTACTTTTCTTATATTGACTAATTCGTGTTTGCCATAATCCAGCTCATACACAGACACCAGTCCATTGGTCAGGATTCCTTTTAAAAGCACCCTGTGCCACCTAGATATACATTAGATTAAAAAGGAAGAGAAAACACATAAACTCAATACCTGCTTTAAGGGCAAGAAATATTTTATAAAAAGAAAAATTAATGCAAATTATGTTTATCAAAATTTAAAACTATATTGTCAAAAAAGTTTTAAAAGCATTTCCTGCTCCTTTTTCCAAAGCTTACTATTTTCTGCTTTGCCACTGTCTTATTTGATAGAATTTGCTCATTCAAGAGACTTTTACGGGCCTCATGGAGTTAGTGAAGGAAACAGACACATGAACTGCCAACCATCACTAAGTAGAATGAAACAAACGCCATGGAGGATGACCAGGACAAAGCCAGGGGATCCCTTCACTGAAGGAGGGTGGACAGAAGATGGCCACATGTTTGGATATGGTACATGCTTGGAAGATGGAAAGAGAGAGGCAAGCAGGACCAGCTGGGGATGAAGAAATGCTTGAGAAGAAAAGCACAGAGGACTGGAGAGGGCATGGTGTTTTGGAGCAGAGCAAACCTTCCAGTATAGTTAGAGAGTGGAATGCATGGAAGAATAGAAAAGAAGTCAGACTAGGAAGGCAGGCTGGGGACAAATCAAATAGGTTTTGGACAAAAAAAGTTTGCAATTTTAATTATGACAAGTAAGGACATTGAAAAAAGAACATAACACAGGATTCAACCCACCACCTAAAATAAAGAACCTGGAAAAGGTAGAGGAGTATGAAGGAAGTGGAGTATGGCTTCAGATCTGGAGCTCAAGGCACCAGAAGGAAATCCACAGGAATCTACTTAACCCTGCTGAAACTACATCAACATCATTAAAATGAGAAAAACCCAGACTTCAAGGTTAATATATGAAAGATCATTTTAAAGTCCTACCTACATCAACATCATTAAAATGAGAAAAACCCTAGACTTCAAGGTTAATAGATGAAAGATCATTTTAAAGTCCTATAGTCTCAAATACATGATTAAAAAGCATTACTACATGAAGGAAAGGAAGATTGTTCCTAACAGCTAAAAGAAAGTGTCTGTGGAGGTGGTCTCTGCTGCTAAATGGCGTAAATTGGCCTCTAGTTGAGGTGGCATGGTCAGTCATTCTCTGGAACAGGTTTACTAACCATAAGCCAGAAGCCCACCAGAACAGCAAGCCCTGTACCACAACACACTTCTGGACTGGGGTTGGCTGGAATGGACTTTTTCTCCAGCGTGTAAACCCCTAGTATAGGAAATCCATGCAGCTGCTATAGGAAGAACTACAGAGAAGCCCCAAAACAAAAAGGTCAGCTTTCAACACTGTGACTGGGGGCTTCTGAGGGAACTCCAGAAACTTTCAGACAGGCTCAAAGTGCAGCAAGCAATACTCCATGGGTCCCAGAGACAATTGGGACACAGAAAGGATACATAATATGTACATGAGTTTTGGGGGCCAAACAGACCTGAATTAGAGTCCCATCTGGGCCATTTTCTAGTTGTGTCACCTTGGCTCTTTATTTAAGCTCTGAGCCTCGATCATCTCATGTTTAATATTTAATGTAAACTCACTTACAGAAATAATATATGGAAAGTGCCTGGGACATTACTTGGCTAATAATAGGCACTTGGCAAATGGTAGTTATCATCATTATTATTAAAATGAAGACAAGGTACTATAAATAAGAACTTGAGATCAAACTGAAGAGAAATTTTCACATGTGGAAACACTTTTGGTATAGGTTGCTAATTTGTGTAAGCACAAAAGGAGGTAAAAACACTTGGTTTCCACCAATAGCATCATCTTAATATTGTACAGGGCAAATTGGTGGTGGTCTGTGTTTTTAGTCTATAAATAAGTGGTATAGAGCAGTGAAGAGAGAGTCACCAGCAAACTGATGTGTTGTGTTTCTATTTAGTTTTCAACTTTCAAAACTAATGGCGTAAGTGAAGACTTCAGTTTTGACTAGTTTACTAAATTTCAGTACCAGCATCACCTGGAATTTGTTAAAAACAGATTCTGGAGCTCCACCTGCAGAGATTCTGATTCAGAATGCCTGGGGTAAGGAAGAATAATCTGCATTTTTAATAGGTTTTCCAAGTTGTTCTTATGCTGAGATAGATTTGGAAACCGCTATAATAAAAATATATATCTAAAATTCCTCAGTCTTAACTTACCATAGTTGGGAACAAGGTTTAGTAAATAGTCCTGAGTCTTAAGAAAAACAGAAGCTCTAAACATTTTATACTGATTCAGTTCATGAAGTTTTTTGAAAAAATCAGATGATCTGTTTTTATATACAAAACATCCCTGGATTATCTGGGGCAAATTAACTAAAATCCAAGAGTCCTGGGGCAGAATGGTTCAAAGACATGGAGGGCAGAGTGGGGATTGTGAGGGCCCATCCAGTTGATGTGTTCTCCTTCCTACCCAACCCCTTTCCTCCAAGGAGGATCTCCTCACCTGTAATCATCATTAATCTGCACCCCCAGTAAATGATGAACATTAGTTTGGTTTTTAACTGTGATTGAATTATCTTACAAAGAGTTCTGATTGAGGCAAACCTACACAAACTGAATTAAACCTATTTATGTTTGTGGTCATAAATAACACAACAGTAGAAATGGCTTTTTAAAGAAGAAAAGCTTATGACATACAAGTGGTATGTTTTTCAAAATGAGAGCTATTATACTCTTCACTTTGAGAGTTAAAAATTAGTTTTTTTCTTCCATGAAAATGACAAAACTTTATACATGCCTATGTTTGCTATCTTAAAGAATTAAAACATTTCATATAAAAAAAGCAGTTTGACCTTTTAAACAGAGTTTTGGGTGTGTGTGTGTGTGTGTGTGTGTGTTGGGGAGGGGTGACTGTTCTTTGTGTTCAGCATCAACAAATAAGCTTGTTCATTTCTCCTAAGCAAGCTGGCAAAGGAAGAGGATGGGCATTGTGCCATTTCCCAGGGCTTCATGGCCTGAGTGGAGAGTGGAGAGTGGGGTGTCTGGGCTTCACGTGGAGGAAACCAGCACATCCTGCAGGGCTTTGGGGAGCAGGGTTGTGGACCCAAATGTGAAAATATTAGAAAAAAGAGTGAACTGCTAAAGAAATGTAAGAGAAAGTATGTTCTCAAAGCCCCAAGGCCAAACAGTAGTGAAATAAGCATTGTTGCTCCTTATGAAAGATGGCACAGATGCCAGGATGCAGCTGACAACATAAAGCAAGAGTCTTGCCATCTTCCAACAAGTGATTTTTCTTCTAGGAATCTATCCCATAAATAAATAATCAGAAATGCAAAGATTTACATTCACTATTATTTATAATAGTGAAAAATATAAGGAAAAAACCTTACATAACAAAATAGAACGGTAAGTAAATTATGATTTCATTGGGAGAAGGGAATTCTGCATATCATAATTAAAATAGCCATTATAAAGGTTCCTGAAGAAATTTTATCAAATGGAAAAATGTTTACAACATAATGTTAGGTGAAAAAAGCAGGTACAAAATTATATATACTAATAATATACCAACTATATAAATATGCACATATAAAATTAGAGGAAATACATAAGTAGTTTAACAAGTGTTATGTGTGGGTGGTTGATTTTAATTTCTTATGCTTTTTTATATTTTAAAAATTTTCCACAATATTTTTATTTTTAAAATAAAAAGTCATTAAATGAAAAAAACCTGGTTATTTTCCGAATAAAAATATTTTTCTAATAGAAAAATAGAAAAACATTTAAACATTCATTTTAGATATATAATTGGGTTTTAACAGGAATATGGCCAATAGATTTTTTGATAAATGACATCATTTTAAATACTAGAAAATCGCGAAAATTACTGGGTTTGTTTGACATTCAAAATTCCCATTAGTACAGTTCAAAGTCCCCCTGACTAGATTAAGACTCTGGCATCATTTTACACATTTTTCTTAGGAGTAGAATAAAATGCTTTGTCCAAGGACCTACTTATTTTCCACTTTTGCAGCATACACTTGGTCTTTCTCCACTGCTATGTGGCGCTCTTCAGACACACTGTAATATAGAATCATCTCTTCCATCAGAACTTCCAACTTATGTATCTCCTGCCAAGGCTGGATGACAAAGTAGCCTGGATGACAGGCCACAGGCACATACACATCCATGTGTTCCCCTGGCTTTGATAAGTGGACAGGAGGTGGCAGTTCCTCCGTGGAGAAAGAGCTCGTGTGGTCCACCATGGACTTTTTGATGACATCTGTTAGGTTCTTTCTGAAATTCTCTCCAGTGTTGCCCAACATGGGCATGTTGCCATTTTTGCTGTCGGGAGAGCCAGCTCCACTGGATATGGCACTCAAAAACACATCCTTCTGATGCTTCCACAAGTCTGCATTTGTAATCTGGCGATTAATACTGCGATGAGGATCAGGGAAGTTCTTAGGGGTAAATAAATAAACATGTGCGATCCCTCTGGTTTCATCCACTTTTGTAACCTTTGGAAAACACAAAAAACAATATTAGAAATACAAGTTCACATTAAATTTTGAGAGGCAGTTATAGTAACCGTAATCATTAAAACACAGTATTTTGCCAAACACCTTGCTAAAATCCATTTTATTTAAGGAAAGATAAATGATCACAGCTTGGCAATGAATGGGCTCTGAAGTCAAAATAGTCTAGGAAACAGTGCAGCCTTATGGAAATAAAAAATTTACTAATCTTTAAAAAGTCTGAGAAAACTTTATAACTTGCTACAGGTCATTATCATTGAGAGGAAGGGATTCTATGTATCATGATTAAAATAGTTTAATGACATTTCAAAATACTTAAAGTAGAAATTATAAGTATGACGAACCCCCACCCCCCACGTACTCATCACCCAGCATCAATAATAAAAAACAATCACAATGATGGCAAAATGATTCATAAGCATTCTGCTTAAGGCTGGTGTGTCCTCAAGACTGGGAAAGGAAGGAGAAAGCTCTGACATCCACCACATCTTTAAGCACCCCTCTATCAGATTCCTTGTCTGGTCCTAGTATATGTTCTCACACCCTTCCCCATCTCCAATTACATGGGAGGAGATGGACCTGGGGAGAAAAAGAGGAAGCAAGTTCCACAGAATGGGTCAAAATCAGTTTTACACTTTTTGTCCAGGAGACCTTCTGACTACCTAACCAACTTTGCTCTTTCGGCCAGAGGTGTGTTTGTATGGAAATACCATACATTAATAATTGGGATTGTACTGCTGTATGTCCCAGGGAGCTAGGTAACTGTTGGCTATTCTCATCAGCAACTCTGGTTTATCTTAGTAATGATAAAAATAAGATACTAGCCACATCTATCTTTTACCAAATAGGGCTAGAAATGAAAGGCAGGTACACAGGCTTGAAGAGAGGGAGATAACAGCAAGGCAACCCATCTACAGTAATTTACTTTAAATGGTTTTTTTTCCCCCCAACAAGATGCCTCTATTACATTCATCCTCTGAAGTACTAATCAAATACTGACTGCAAATTCATTTTGATATTTACAATACAGAAGTACAGTTTTAAAAATTAACAAAAAGTATTTTTATTGAGTAACCATCCAATATTCTGGCTTTAGGAGCTTAAAGAGTAGCTGAGAAAACAGTGTTATCATGTGACAATTGAAGAATATGAAATAGTATATAATTAAGCATGTAATTGTACACTATAAACCCCAGAAGAATACAAAGACAGAAAAATCAGTGCTAGCTAGAATAATTTAGAGGTCTTCATGAAGATATTTTTCAAGGACATTTCATTTTAAATGTTTATATACAACAGTCATATAATTTTCATCAGTTAACAGAGAAAAATTATCTTCTTAAATTTGTATTCTTGGATATATGAGCAATGTTTTTGATTTAAAGATGCAAAAGTACAGAAAAAGAAACAAGAGCTAGTGAAATAAGTACAGCAGATTAAATAAACTTTAGGAAAAAGAGGCTAAAAACCACAATCATAAACAAATGATTTGTTTATAATCTATGCTACTTTATGAATAAAAAAGAAATAGAGGACTTATTTAAATGATCTTTAGAAACATTCATCAAGAGATCTGTGGTCCCCTGTTGGGGACTTAATTCCTTATCATGAAGCAAAATAGAAATGGAGAACCATCTCTTCTACATTAATAATGGGAAAAACTATAAGAAGGGTTTAAAAGTAATACTGGAGACATAGGATAACTTCTTAAATAAAAAAGAATTAAGCCATAAAATATCTTACAGCTACACTTGTAGCCAATTTCCTGAATATAAAAAATGTGTTGGATGTGGAAGCATCCATTTTACAGTGAGATAAAATTCCTTCACAAAAACTAAACGAGCCCTGACAGCTGCCAGCTCCCTTTCTAAATGTATCAGGCCCAATAAGATAACTAACCTTAATGCTACAGTCCGAGCAATTCAAAACAGAATCTCTTAACCAAAGCACTGCATCTGGTGTCCACATGCCAATAGATTGTGGAAGATCTGCTAAACAGCACTTAATGGCCTGAAAAGAAAATATGATGGAAAAGTAAATACACCATGTTAAAATATCTAGTTATGAGTAATGTTAATATTATTTTCCTACAAATCAAATGTTACCAAGATAGCAAGCAACAACAGCTAATAATGACAATTACAGCTCTTGGTTTGAGCATCTGCTATGTTCCCAACTCTATTTATATTACTATTGTCTTTACTCCTTTATGAGCCACGGCTTACCCCCAGCACTCCATATACTTCCCACCATACAATACTTCTGCATGACAGGTGTTGCAGCCCCATTTCACAGCTGGGGAAATGGACTCAGAAAGACTGCATAAGATACCAAAGTCGCAAAGACAGGGTTGGAACTTTTATCAAGGTCTACCCTCTACCTCAACTTAAAAAAAAAACAAAAAAACCCGTCATTTGGAGGAAATCTGACTCCTGCTGCTTCATTCAGCACTTCCTGAGTACCTCGTGGATACCAGGCACATTTGTTTGCCCTTTGAAGGAGGCTGTAATGAGAATTAAGGAGGGTGAGAAAAACTGAAATCCACAGGTCCCTAAAAGCCTCATTTTCCTCAGTGTTTTTTAGCTCCTACTGTCATTATACAAGCATCTGTAGAATGGCTACAGCAGAGGCTAAAAAGTGACCTCAGGGATTTCCTTCAGCTTCAAGCAAACCCTTGAATCAATGGAAGCAATTTTGTGAAGGCGATGAAACTCAGTTCCAGGATTCCTTTTCCTCCCTGAGCCCCTTCCTGTCTTCCTGCTTTCCTCCCTCAGGAGCTCTAAGTCTCTCGCTCTGCTGGCTGGATGTGGTACCTTTCTTGTTGGAGAAGAGGTCACTCAGAGCAGAGACAGCACACTTGAATATCTGCAGGGGCTGGGCAGGCAACGACGAGTGAGGCAGGCCCAATGGGGCCAGCAGAGGAGAAGGCCCCAAGCTCCTTAGGAGCACTGCCCCACAAGAAGAGTGCTCAGCAGAGTCAGATTTTCCAATTTGTCAAGAGAGAAGCTAGAAGCAGGATTTTTTGTGTGAAATTTTCTAATTTTAAAATGCTGGCAACCAATTCACATTTTTAAAATACTGTAAGAGCCAAGAGCCAAAACTCCATATTTAAGGGTTGGCTTTGGCTGACAGTCCATTGGTCTGGTACTCTGATTTAGACTCTTGGAGAGATGCTGTGAGCCAGAGGCTTGGGCTAGCTGGTTTTTAAGGTTCTCCCAATCAACAGTCTTCATATTTGTCAAATAATAAACCTAGATAAGGTTATGAAAAAAAAGTTTAGTGATTGCTAATGCCGTAGCATACAGGTGGTACTGTTGCGGACTTTCAGACAGTTGCAGTGGTGGGGCAGATTCCCAACTGCCCTCCAGCCCAGGGGATCTTTTCCAGGTAAGGCTGGCCCTGCATGGCTGTTCCAACAAGAGGTATTATTAAGTCAGAGTAGCACTTAAAGGCCTATCAATTTCCAGAACTATGGCTGAGTAATGGACAGTAAAAATGATTTTGAAAAAAGCTTCTCTGTAATAGTCACGGCTAGAAAAAGCAATGGTGATGGGAGGGAGAGACATATCAAAAGCCACGCTAATTATGGACAATGTTTTATTCACTGAGTTTGATGGCAGAAGATGTCTTCTTGAAAATATTAGTAAATGGGCATCTTGAAGTTGTAGAATACTGAATAGTTTTATTTTTAAAAAGATATTAATTTGTGCACAAAACCCTCTACTTCTCTTAAAGGTAGTGAGTAGTTCTAAAAACTTCAAAATATTCAAAATCCTTATCATCTGAACGTTCACGAATAAAGAAAGGATTGACTGAAGTTAATCTTTTAATTAAAATGTATGGTGGGGAAGTCACTAAGAAAATGATTATGTCTAAACAGATTTCCAAAGAAAATGGTTACCCAAACTAAAAACTCTAAAAATAAACATTTATACACAATATTCTGGAACTGTATATAAGTCAGCACTGGCATCTAATTATCAAAATGGAACCTGTAACTGGACAATACAGCTTAATGACTAGATGTTCTTGAAAACAAACATTTCTCAAACAACAGTCTGTAAATATGACTGGTCTTGTCTAAGTCAGCCACGTTTTACTTCTGAAAACTAGTAGACAACTACATTTGGACAATTTCCAATTTTCTTAAAAATTAATGAGATCAAAACTGAGAAGGCATCTTACAATAAGATTATGAACACATCCAAATCTGTTCCAGCAAATCTCCCAGGCTGGTAACATAGTACCTGAGGTGGTATTGCAATCATTTCTTGTAGGAACCGAGGTGGAATTTCCCTGAGCTCTGACACTTTCACAGATGTCACAGTGCCAGAGTCCAGGAACTGAACATCAAGAGCTCGGCTGCTGTGAACGTTTGTGATCTGAAATGAGATAAGTGTTGGCTAATTTATTAGCATATTCAAAAGACCAAAATGCTTCTGTGCAATTACATTTTGTACAATCCTGAACTGCATATTAAAAGCAACAGACTAACAATGTTAAAATTTTCCCTTAATTTAAAATGTATTCACTTATTATTATTATTATTATTATTATTATTTTGAGACGGAGTCTTGTTCTGCCGCCCAGGCTGGAGTGCAGTGCTGCAATCTTGGCTTGCTGCAACCTCCGACTCCTGGGTTCAAGTGATTCTCCTGCCTCCGCCTCCTGAGTAGCTGGGATTACAGGTGCCCACCACCCACCCAGCTAATTTTTTTGTATTTTTTAGTAGAGATGGGGTTTCACCATGTTGGCCAGGCTGGTCTCAAACTCCTGACCTCAAAAGATCCACCCATCTTGGCCTCCCAAAGTGCTGGGATTACAGGTGTGAGCCACTGCACCCAGCCTACTAAATACTGTTTTAGAGTAGAATTGCTTTCAACACCTAGTTAATCAGTAATAATCAGCAAACTGATAATAAACTGTAAAATAAGTATATTTATTATTTAATATTTAATATTTATTATTTCTCCAATTCTAGGACATGATTTATTATAAAATGATTTGATACGTTATTATATACTGCTGATTATAAGATAAAGTCTGTTCTCCAAAATATTACAATATAAGGGAAAAACTATTGTTTTGGGGTCAAAACAATAATTACCTTTGCAATTATTTGTATAACTATCAAGAATAAATACATGATTAAACATAGGATCTGCTTTTCACTAATTATTTTTCCTTCCCTGACTTTCCACACATCACTAAGAGAATGAGTACTCAAACCTTTTGTCTACCTTGAAGGTAGACAATATACAATTTGATAGTAACAAAAATAATACTAGATATTTATCTAAAGTATTTGGACATACACCAAGAAGGCTTCTTTTTGCCAAAAATGCATAACCAAAATTTAAACATGAAGATACTCAAATTGAGAGATACAACATAATGCTATTCTTCAAAAAGTCAGGAACAGCAAAGAAAGGCTGAGTAACTGCCAGACTGGAGTATACTAAGAAGGCATGACAACTAAAGACAATGTGGGATCCAGATTGGATGCTGGAGCAGAAAAAGGACTTTGTGGAACAATTTGGGAAATGTATGTTCTGTGGATTAACTAACGGTTTTGTATTGTCAATTTCCTGGCTTTGAAATTGTGCAATGGTTATATAGATGTTAACATTTGCAGAAGGTAAAAGGCCAATGAGACCTCTTTGTGCTATTTTTGCAACTTGTAAAAAAGGAAAATTATTTCCAAATAAAAAGTTTAAAAAGTTGGTACGCATACACTTATATATTTTAAACTAAATCACACTTTAAGATCTGAAGAATGCCATGATCTTTCCAACGAGTCATGTTTTTGAAGCTTATACCTAGGCACATATCCCTTGGTCATATGACCCGAGATTTCAGTCTTCTGACATACATTCACATTAATAGCAATAATTACTTCAAAACTGCTACTCTCATTAAAGTAGACATGACCAAGTTTTATTTAAATAATGAAAAAAATCAATTCAATTTAAGTTATCAATATGTTGCTGCGAAGCATTTAAAAAATTCAATAAAGCAATGATTCTTACCTTTTGGGGGTTGATTTGAGAATCTTACAAAATTATGCATACTTTTCCCCCAAAATATATAATACAAGCATACAAACAATTTGCATACAATTCCAGGAGGGTTGAGGGACCCCCTGAAAGTTGAGGTCCTTGCATCTAGGTTAAGAACCTCTGTATCAAAGGAAAAAAAGAAAAAAAAAAATCAACCCAATTTTTTTCCTAATTTCTTTTTTCAGTTTTTTTTTTTTTTTTTTTTCTCTTTGGTTTTGTAGAGATTGTATCTCACTATTGTGCCCAGGCTGGTTTCAAACTCCTGATATCAAGTCATCCTCCTGCCTTGGCCTCCCAAAGTGCTGGTATTACAGGTGTGTGCCACCTCAAACTAGATGAAAAGAGACAGAGGGAGGGAAAGCAACCACAAAAATCCAAAACCTGCATTTTTAAAAACATACCGAAACACAGGATAAACCATAACAAAATGCCTTTCAAGTTCATAACTGAGCTTGCAAGAAAATAAGACAATTGTTAGTGACTAGACATAGAAGAGTATGTGAACATTAAAGCCAAAATAGTCCTGGGCAGGAGACATGGCCTTAGATCCAGGCAGGAGGGAGGGAGGATCTGACACTGCCCCATGAAGCCATAGTTCTTAAAGGGATATACTCTCAATGGAAGGGCAACTTTGGACAGCAATTAAGCAAGATCTAGTAAAACTGAAGATATGCATTCCCAATACCTAGAAACTCCATTCCTATGTATGTATCCTGGAAGACACGGACAGGAAGCTTCAAAAAATTAGGAACGATCTAAATATCCATCATCAGGAAGATAGAGTGATAATGTTGGCATATTCATAGTGTTGAATCATACAGCAGTAAAAATAGATAAACTAGAGCTGCACACATCAACATGAATGAATCTCACAAACATAATGAATGAAAAAGCATGACCAATACCTCTTCTACTTATATAAAGTTTGAAAATATTTATTCATTTATATTTATTCATTTACCTTTATATTCCATACACATATTCATTAATATATTTCCACTATTTATATATAAAAATATACAGTAAAAGTGTGTATCTACAAGTACAAATACAGTAAGAATATAAACAAGAAAGAATGAGAAAAAACAAATGAAACTGGGGTGGAGGCAGAAGAAAGGAGATGTAAACTTTCTTTGACCGTAACTTCGACCAGGAAACTTCAACCATACTGATCATGTTTTATTTCATAAACTGGTGATGAGTCTGTGAGTATTTATTCCATTTTTTAAAAAAACCTATGTGTATATTTCAAATATTTCACAATAAGTTAAGATTAAAAAGCCAAGTGACTGATTTTTACCTCTACTCGTAACCATTTTCCTTTGCAATGGAAGAGGCAGATTTTCCCACAGAAGGGTAATGAAACAAAGCACTCGGAGGTCATGTGCTACAAAACAGAAATGCATGATACTCTTATTACTCTTAGCAAAGAGCATATTGCTACACCATTAGAAAAACAGATTGCTGTGGCACTGGCAGACTTAACCGACATGTAATCAGACTTCCTGTGAGCCCTTTCCCTGCAGGAAGCACGCTGCAATGGATGCAGCAAATACACAGGGTTATAAAACTTTTGTCTTGTTACTCACACATTTGTTGACATCAGTAGTTTACTCTCCCTACATGCACATGGCTCATAAATCAGCATTGTTAACATTTCTAAAAACATTAGCATAAGATCATTATGATTCACTTAGGTACTGGCTCCATCAGTTACACATGAAGAGAGGTGTTGAATCTGACAAAAAGGAGAGCAGCATCGATGAAAAGTGAGGAGGGTGTGCGAGCTGTCTGTAGGCTTATTCTTTTCATCTCTTCACATTTAGATGCAAAGATAACAGTTTTCTAAATTAAATGTTTTCTTTTTTTTTTTTTTTCTTTTTTTTGAGACAGAGTCTCGCTCTGTCGCCCAGGCTGGAGGGCAGTGGCTGGATCTCCGCTCACTGCAAGCTCTGCCTCCCGGGTTCACGCCATTCTCCTGCCTCAGCCTCCCGAGTAGCTGGGACTACAGGCGCCCGCCACCTCGCCCGGCTAGTTTTTTGTATTTTTTAGTAGAGACGGGGTTTCACCGTGTTAGCCAGGATGGTCTCGATCTCCTGACCTTGTGATCCGCCCATCTCGGCCTCCCAAAGTGCTGGGATTACAGGCTTGAGCCACTGTGCCCGGCCCTAAATTAAATGTTTTCTAAAGAAAACATTTTTCTAAACAAATTCTAAAAACAAAGAAATGTTATCAATACAAATATGTATGTCAGTGCCAGTTAAATACCAACAAATCACAGCTGTAAAGATGAAGTCTCCTCTTCCGCTGTAGTTTGAAGTTGGGGGCACCTGCCCATGGTCTCTTTCTGTTCAGGGTGTGTGTTTCTACTCTCCCCAAAGGCAATGTCTCACTTAGGTTACGAGTGCAGTAGGAAATATCGAGTCCTTTTCACCACCATAGGTTATAAGGACAACATCCATACAAATGAGTCACTGGAGTCAGCCAAGCTGGGGGTTTCAGATTTTTCAAAGATAGACTTAAAATTAAACCTCTGTAACACAGAACAAGATAAAGCTATAGGAATGTCTCAGTTCCAAACTGTATTTGGAACGCGGGTTTAAACTGATTCAGTGCATATTCTGGCGTACCTAATCTACATAAGACACTAGATTAGGTACTGTAAGGGATACAGCAAATTGGTAAGGTACAGTCTATGCCCTCAAGAAGCATACACTCTAGAAAGGCAAATAAGTACCCAGATAGCTAACATGCAAACTGAACATGAATGCCCTGAGGGGCCTGACGTGCTTTGTGGGTTAGAGGGAAGGGTTCACTTCCAGGGACGAGGGGATAAGGGCAGAAGTGGCAGTAGGGTTCAGTGATTTGGAAACCACAGCATATTCTGAAATATGACCATAATGTCCTAACGGAGGTAAGGAAACCATTTTAGAAACTTAAAGCACAATAAAACCTCTGCAGAGCTTGATTCAGAAAAAAATACTATAATTAAAGGACATGGAGCTTATTAATACAATTTGGACTGCAGAACCACATTTATCAGGTGGCAGGTTCTCAGATCCATAAAGAGCTCAAGGAGTGATGTCTGAGGAGGAAGATGAAGGCAGAATTGAGGAGGAAAGTTTTATTATCCTCCTAAATTCCAAGGTTTCTCCTTGCCTGAGGCAGAAGAGTCAGCTGGCTCTAGCAGACAGTCACAGGCAGCTGCACTGTGGCATCATCAACTGCATGTTATAAATAATACATCTACTGATTGCTGAGCACTAACTACATGACAGGCACAGTGTCCTCAGGACAATCCTATAGGGTACACACTATTGCTATCTTCGTTTTACAATGCGGAAACCAGTGTTGTGTTTTTCTTTTAAAACTCTGAAGTCTAGAGCTCTTTACCTACTATTCTAGAGATTCCATTTCGGACTACTAAAAAATTGTTCATACTTATGCAATTTAGTAAATTACTCTTGTTTGTAATTTTAGGGCTAATTTTAGAAGTAGAAGAGGTTCTGCTATACCTTGCAATGGAAGTAGTCCTCTATCTTATGTAGAAGGTCATTGAGCTTGTTCAGACCCTTACAAGGCACCTGGCAGTAGAGTGTCCCATCAGAGCAAATATTAGTTACTTTGACATTTGTGTACATGGCGTCAACCTATAACAGACAAAGGATACCTCGTGAATGCTTGAGAGCAGAATGCAGCTCTTACCTACCTAAAGGGTATCTACCTAAACATCCCATTACAAGTCTTTGCATTTTAAAATCTTTAAGTTAGAGTATATGTAAGATGAAATGCAATTTATAGCTTAAATGTACAAAACTAATCTAGATTCTTTTCTTTTTAAAAGAAACGTCTAATATCATTTATGTCAAGCACAAAATAGACATTGTGCATACATTCCCACACTCCATTGTCTGGAAGGCCAAGACTATCTTTAATGTTGGTTTATTTTCTTATCATTTATTTAGAAAAAGAATTACATAAACCATGTTTTGCAACATTAACAGAAGTGAAAATAAACTCTCACAAAATCAAATCCTTTATCAGCCTACTTTCTAACCCGTGTCCTGAGGCCACATGAATTTGGGTAATTTTAAAAAACCATAATCAAAATTAATATTCAATTTTACCCATTTTTAGTCAAACCATAATAAAGACATTCACAGTGGTTCTACTTATTAAAACAGAAGTTTCCCATTGTTTCTATGAAGTCTTTAAAATGACCATTTTTAACATCTCATCCTATTCTCCAGAGTAGATATTCTATAATTTATTTAAAGGCTTCCTTCTTTTGGGGCATTTATGTTCTCCACATTAAAAAAATGTTAAAGCTAATAATAAACATCTTCATGGACCCAATTTTCCCTTCTTTTGTGTTATTTTTCCTTATTATCTTTACAAAATAATCTCATATAAAATCAATAGATGCTCTTTGTAGGAAATGGAAAATAAAAAATCTAGTTCCTAAGAAACAATTACTCTGAACATTTTGGTATTTTTTCCCCTTCCAGCCCCACTCCCTCCTTTTTCCCCCCTCAATGTAGATGTAATCTGTCTCTATCAATTGTTAGCCTAAAATGTGTAATATTCTGGTGATTTTTCTCTCATACAAAATGTGTAACAAGTAACAACAGTGATCACAGTGGTACCTGCAGGTGAACCTCTAGTGACTTGTCACATATAGCCTTCAAGCAGGTGGCATTGATATTGATATCATCTTCTCCTGAGGTATCATATAGAACAACAAGTGGAATGTCAGCTTTGTCAAGTATTTCCACTGCAAAGATCTTTCCACAAGTTAAAGACTCAACCACCTTCACTAGATCAGGGTCATCACTTAGGACTTCCAAGCCTGAAAAATATTGAATCTTTTAATTTCTACTTAATTAGCAAAATCATTTCAAGATGAATAGATGGATTGTGTCTGTTTTGACCATTATTAAAATTATAAGCCTACTGCAAAATTATTAAATTTTATATGAAAGCTTTGTCTTATAATCTTTATCTTACCTCTTAGGTTTTAAAAAAATATAATGTAAATGCCCTTTTGAATGATACACTAAGGCAGGCAATCTTAAGACAGAGAAAAATGGATAATCAATCAATTTCCACCTTGGGAGAAACAGTCTTCACTTTATACAGGAACACATATTTAAAACCAAAAACCTAATACTTATGAGAAGCCATCAATCATGTCTTCCAGTCATATGCTTGTAATGCACTTCCTACATACATACAATTATTTTTCTTATAAAATGAACATTTATTGGAAATTGAGACAACATATTATTTCTTTTTTACTGACCCTTAGGATACCAAAGAATCTTCTGATTTATCAAAGAGAGATTAAGTAGTGTTTAACATAACACAGGTATTAGGTGAATTTTGTTGTAGTCCAACTACTCTTTAAATTCTTAGAAAACTGTAGTTCCACATAACATATATGACAATTCTAAGTTAATGTATTAAATGAATTAAAACTAGCTCATATTTTCCCCAATGGTGCTATAATTCCTATTTCCATATTTTCCTACTTTAAATCCACAAGCTAAAATTCAGACTCCTCCTGAGTTTTTTCTTTTTCTTGTTCTGTTCTCCAGACATAGAACTTTGAACTTTTCTCAAACATTTTAATTTCAACACCCTAAATCCTGTTCTATGCTCTTGATACATTCTTTCCAACACCAACTTCTACAAGTTGTTAACAAGTTTTAAAAATTTCTTCAGGTTTATCTCACAGACAGATAAGAGTCAAACCCAGCTCCTGTGACATAAGAATTCATCCCGCTGAGGAGGAGGCATTTTTTCAGAGTACTCATTTTCATGAAATAATTATGATCATTTTCTGCATTTGGCTCAAGTCCCCCTGGATGGTGCATATTTCAATGCCTTTCCTTATCATGAACATGACCAATGTGTCCTCTGTCCTTTAAGTTTATCCCTACACGGCACTCTCATACATGTGGATTCCTCTGTTTCCTTTAGGAGGAAGGAAAAGAACAATGATACATCTACTATGCCAGAAACTGCAAGTGACCTGTGATCAAACTCATGCTTGGGCATATGAGGGTGTGTCAGTCACACCCTCACAGCATCACCACAGTCCATCTCAGCAGGAAAGGGGCTGAGAGTCACCTCACAACATGCTGAACAACGTATTGAAACTGATCAAATGTCATGAAACAGGGCCTCCATCAATTGTTACTAGGGCAGTTAGAACAAGAAAAATCCCTTTAAGATGGCTAATAGACATTTTTATAAGAAATTATAATACGTTTTTATATATAACATAAAATATAAAAACATTACAACATTTTATAATGGTATCTTATAAAGAACACATTCGACATGAATTTAAACCTTTCAAGAAGTAACATATTATAACATGAGATACTTAGTCCATTTTAGGATTCAACCATCCAAATATATAACCATCCAAATATACCTTAAAAAAATAGGTAATAACCTATTGAAAAGGAGAGAGCTTTTAAAAAAGTTCCTCTTACCTGCAAGCTTACATTTTGTAGCTTGAAATGAGAGTGAACAAAACTTCGGGTTTAATTTGTATGCTTTGTTTTTTTCAACATTTTCACTAAAACCGTAGTCAACATAGCACACCTAATGATTAAAAAAACACAATGTTTAGTTCTTTATCCTCTCTTTAACAAATCCATTTGATACATTTAATTGGCTCAATCTTATTCCATAATCAGCAAGCTGAGTGGCACAGTGGCACCTGGAAAAAGCTGGGGAGGTGCCCCTGACTTACCACAGAAGAGAAAGACTGGAGCTGAGACCAAGGAAACCAGAGCTCCTGGTTCCAGGCCCCAGTCTTCTACCTCACCCTCCCCCTTCAAAGGGAAGAACAAGACTGCTCAGCCCCGCCACCTTGCTGCTGCCAGTCTCTCAGCAGCCTATCTACCTGGTTCTGCCAACTCTGCTCCCCTTCCCTTCGGTACTTTCATTATAATGCCTGCATCAGCTTATTCTTTTTTAAGTTACATATTTCCACCTGTTCCCTGGACGGCAGTGTTTGTTTCTATGGCAGGCATCATCCTTGTAGTATTTATCAGATTCTAAATCCCCAAAGCAGCATTTGTGATGCTTGCTCTCAGCTACAGTGCTTCCAGGGACCGAGATGCTTCATCAATGACAACAATGGTATCACTGCTGAACAGCAGGGAATTCTAAACTGGAAAACAGGTGTACCTACTTTTTTCAAGGGTGTGAAGCTGGGTTAGGCCTTCTTTCAGCTCAGCAAAAGGCCCTAAGTCTGCTGAACAGAGGTCTGTGTTTGCAGAAACCTGCACAACTTTTCCTCACCATTAGCACAGATTGTTAAGAGCCTGGATATTATTTTTAAGAATATTTATAGAATCTTCAGTTTAAAAGGATTATATAAACACAAAGCCTTTTTTTGAGAAAAATAAAAATCTAGAAATATTAAGCTATGGTTTAGAATAACCAAGAATCTAAGGGAAAATGCTGAAAACCTAATATGCATCTCTAATTAAAGCAGATGATGGTTATTAAAAGAAACAAAGCAGACAAAACAACAACAAAAACCAGGGCAAAGTCTTGGCCTTAATACCAAGTAACATGAGGTGGGCTCCTTTCACTGCCTCCCTGAAAATAAAGTCCACAGCCCAGCTTCTTAGTACCTAGATTATGGTACTAAACACACGAAACAAAAACCCTCCCCAGCAGCGAATCTAAGGGAAAAAAGCAGAAGACACATTAACTCCGTGTCCTGGCCATGTGATAAGCGGGCCTGTGGGGCCTGTCTACCTTGTATCAGAAAGATCATCTCTTAGAATCCACATCTGACTCAACACTGACTTAGGCCTAGATCGCTGGCAGGGCTGCATGTCAGGCAGCTGGCCATTTAAGTGCACAAGTCTATTTCTCCAATCCCAAATTAGCACCTGTTTTTGCTTCTCATAGGCCTCAGGAGTCAGGCAGCTCTCATTTCCTTTAATAGCTATCGCCACCTACAACCGAGATTCTGTTCTTCCCAGGCCCAAAATGGAGATAACGTGGTCTGACAATAGGACATAGCATGTGAAATCATGACTCCTGGGAAATTCAGAACATATTCTTAGCACAAGAACAGATTAAAGAATAACTGCTCCAAAGCTTCAAAGTGTTTCTGAACTGTTTGTAGCTTCTTTTCTTGTTTTTAATCATACATGTTTGTATGGCAACTGCAGTTTATAAAACACTTGTCCATGCATTGTCCAGTGTGACTCTCACCACACCCTGCCCTGTGTCCTTTGCTCTGTGAGGGCTCAGTAGCCTCTCTCTCTCTCTCTCTTTCTCTCTCTCTAATGTCCTGGGATCAGGGTCAGTAGTCACATAATCCCGGCATAAGGCCCCAGTCCATTCCTGGTTCTCTGGCACCATCAAGTGGCTAAAGGTCTCCCAGCACTACCTATCACCCAGCAGACTGCCCTGGGAAAAGGGCCTGGGTCAGGCCAAACTGGCGCCAGCCTGAGCGGGTGACCATATCTCCTGTTTCTCCTATTCACCAAGGATCTGACAGGGAAAGCAAGGAGGGAATCAGTACTTACCACCAGACAAAGTTCAATTCAAGTGAAGCAAGACTGGTGCTAAGTAGCTGGGGTTTCTCCAAATAAAGGGAGAAATCGTCTCTGTCAGCTTCATGGGGATGTGGGGAAAAAGTTTAGGCCTGGATTGCTACAATCACTGCTGTCCCAAGAGCTTGCTGCTGCACAAGATACCGAACTACCTTTTTCACTCTTCGCATCCAGCCCATAATTCTCAGCAGCAATGACGAGGCTGGTCACTCCCTTCGTCATGAGATGCTTTCTTTTTCTGGCTTCTGTGACACCACTCTCTTGGTTTTTCTTCTTTGGCCATCTTTACAGGCTTCTCTGCTCCCCTTATGCCTCCATGTAAATACTGAAAGGTATCAGGACCTGGTCCCAGGCCCCTCCTCCTCTCTACGTGTATTCCCTCTCTAGGTGATCTCACTTCGCCCTGTGATTTCACACAGCACCTATATGTACGTGTATTCTCTCTCTAGGTGATCTCACCTCGCCCTGTGATTTCACACGGCACCTATATGTACGTGTATTCTCTCTCTAGGTGATCTCACCTCGCCCTGTGATTTCACACGGCACCTATATGTACGTGTATTCTCTCTCTAGGTGATGTCACCTCGCCCTGTGATTTCACACGGCACCTATATGTACATGTATTCCCTCTCTAGGTGATGTCACCTCGCCCTGTGATTTCACATGGCACCTATATGTACGTGTATTCTCTCTCTAGGTGATCTCACCTCGCCCTGTGATTTCACACGGCACCTATAAGTACATATAGTCTCTCTCTAGGTGATCTCATCTCGCCCTGTGATTTCACACAGCACCTATATGCTGATGCTTCCCAACCTGACACATCTCCAGTCCTAACTGCTCCCTGAGCTCCAAACTCATCCATGTGACATCTGATAGCTATTCTCAAACCTAGCAGGTCCTATGAAATTCTCAATTGTTCTCCACAACGGTTTTTCTGATGTCCCAATTTCAACAAATGGCACCAATATCCAATTGCTCAAGCCCCAAACCCAGTAGCTATCTTCAATCTTCTCTTCTGCTTACCATCCACTTCCAACAAGTCAGTGTCCTGTCAGCTCTATCTCCAAATATATCCTGAATCTCTTCCACTACCACCATCTTCACTAATCCAGGTTACAAGGTAGCTGGCTATTACAACAGCCACCTAACCAGTATTACTTTTCTTCTGTGCCCTACAATCCATTCCCCACAACAGTCCTAGAATGATTTCTGAAGCATCTAAATGAGATCACATCACTCTGCCTATCTCTTGCTTCAGAGTTATTTTCTATCATGGTGCCTTGGTTATTTCCTTCATTGTACCAAAATTGTTTTGTGTGTTTACTGTATGCTTGTCATCGCTCTTTTCTCACTAGAATGTAAGCTTCTTGAGAACAAGGACTTGTATGTTTTGTTCTTGGCTCCAGGAAAAAGTGAAAAAGTGTATCAGGCAGATACAACATGATGAGAGTATCTGAATTTACAGATAAGCAATGAGGGAAGTTAAATAACTTTCCTAAGGCCACGCAGCTAGAAATGGCAGAGCTGAGACTCAGTTCTATCTGACATGAGAGCTTGAATTCCTGAAGGAGAAGGAGGGAGGGAGGGAAGAAAGTGATTGCCCTATAGACTTCAGACTGGGAAATATCCTTGTGGAATATCTGCATTATTTATCGGAAATATTGTTACACTGTTAATGTGTCACTAGGATTTACATATGATTCTTCTCTTCATAAGAAATCTCTGTGCCTTAAAATAGCTTAGCTTTTGTTGAACTTCCTAAGGGCCAGGGGAGTGAAATGGCCAGGAAATAGTTTATCTAGGAACGTTTAGGGATAGTTATCTCCTATCAACTAGAGACCCAGAGGAATGGAGGGACTTGACCAAAGGCACACACCCAGATACAGGCAGACTCAGGACTAGTGTCCAAGCCCTGTGTTCTCCATTGGCCCAGTGATCATCGTGGTCCTTAGCTTCTTCCAGGTATCAAACTTTATCTAAGTACAATTTATACTGAATAAAAGATACCCGTTTACAATACAGTTTGATGGGCTTTGACCAATGTATATATCCATATAATCATCAAAATAATCAACATATAGACCATTTACACCACTCCAACAGTTTCCTCTTGCCCTTTGCAATTAGCCCCCCTCCACCTCCTGTCCCAGGCAACCACTGATCTGATTTCTATCACTGCAGATGAATTTTACCTGCCTTTTTTTTTTTTTTTTTTTTTTTTTTTGAGACGGAGTCTCGCTCTGTCACCCAGGCTGGAGTGCAGTGGCCGGATCTCAGCTCACTGCAAGCTCCGCCTCCCGGGTTCATGCCATTCTCCTGCCTCAGCCTCCCGAGTAGCTGGGACTACAGGCGCCCGCCACCTCGCCCGGCTAGTTTTTTGTATTTTTTAGTAGAGACGGGGTTTCACCGTGTTAGCCAGGATGGTCTCAATCTCCTGACCTCGTGATCTGCCCGTCTCGGCCTCTCAAAGCGCTGGGATTACAGGCTTGAGCCACCGTGCCCGGCTTACCTGCTCTTAGACATCATTTACACGAAATCATACACATTACTCTCTTGTGCCTGGCTTCTTTTGCTCAGCACAAAATCTGTGAGGTTTGTCCATGAAACTGTTTATATCTGTAGTAAATTCCTTTGTGTTGTTGAACAGTGTTCCACTATATGAATAAACTATAATTTGTTTTTATGATTCACCTGTTGGTGAACATTTGGGCTGTGTCCAGTTTGGGGCTATTAATAATAATGCTACAACACACATGTATGTACAAGACACCTTGTGGGCCTTAGGGGTCATATGGTAAGTGTTCATAAGAAACTGGCAAACTATTTTCCAATTTTCAGATTTTTAAAGTCAGTCAAATTACTTAGAATTCGTGCCTCTGCAGATTCAGCTAGGAAATTTCCTAAATGCCTCTGCAGATGGGAAAGGGTGGCTGGATGGTTGGGTGAGCTTACTTCTGGAGAGGGTCAGGGCCTCTCCTATTGAGCAACCTGCTAAGAAACAGCAGTATCCCTTTCTGACCTCCTAACTCCCACTTGTAGCGGGGGGCGGGGAGTTCAGTGGCCAGTAACTGAGGTACTTAAGCCTGGGTTCAGGGACTGGTCATTTGCACTCAATGACACATATAGGATTACGAGCTGGCAGCTGATAGTGGCACATGGAATAAGGTTTTGTATTATGGAACAGAGGCTGTAGAAATAGAAACATATTTCCCTGCTTGCAAAATCTAGAGAAAACCGGAAGATCTTAGATACATTCCCCTCACAGTCTAAGAGTCCTCTGTATAAATACAAGGGACTATAGAAGTGGGGAATGAGGGTCACCCTTCTACACAGTGTCCTTCCTATCATGAAGGGCAGAAATGAACCCAAGTCTTAAAAAGCATTTCCCTTTAGGGAAGGGAGACATCTTAACACTTGAGAAAGAAAAGACTTTTTCTCCCTCCAAATTCTCTATCAAGTAGCAGGCCCATGATTCAAAGGATAAATTCCAAACAGACATACAGCTTCCACCCAGATAGAAAGAAGTGACACATTAAAAATACACTAGTACAACTGACCACACAGCACATGGAGCTAATATATAATTTCTCTGCATGTTATTTGGGTGTTCCAAGGCCCTGAGACACTACCCTCAGGGAAACTGTGCTTCTTGGTCTCTGCATTGACAGTATGAAGAGGCAAAGGGCAGAGGCTGATATCCACGCATGGAGCCAAGCCCAGAAGAGTCTGCTGGGAAGAGAGTGGCAAACGGGCCCACTGGCCTTTTCAAGAGGGTGGAGAAGGCTACGCCGGGGGCAGCTGTGGAGAAGAACCTGTGTCTTGGCTACAGAAGAGGGAGAAGAATAATTGTCTCCTTTGGTCTGTATGGCTTCCATCACTCCAAAGTACTGGCCTTGATAAGAAGCCCACAGAGTTCTGGTCAGTATTCATTATACATCCCCTGGGAATAGGAAGTACCCTTCCCTGATTGGATAATGGGTTATGAATACTCCCATGGGGAATTTAATTTTTTTAACTAAAACTCTTGAGATAATATGACTACCACAAATTTAAAGGCTGACAGGGATAACCTTTTACAGATATTATCTTTTTAACTTCCATTGAAAACTACATATAGTTATAGGATACAACATTTAAATTTGAAAAATGTAAAAAATATCTACATTTGGAAAATAATAAGGCATTTGTATCCATAATGCTATGACAAAGTAAACAGTGCTTGCCTTTATTTTGTTCTCTTCTGTTGAGATGACCTGTGCTCGTAACCAGGCGTCCTCCTCGGCATTTACGGCCAGCAACTGCCCAACATTCACGGCCTGGACTGGTATGACCTTAGGATTCTTACTGTAATATTCCTTCATCTCATCTTCCATTAATTCCTGAGCAGCAGAATAGTCTTTGCCCACATACCTGAATCAGTTAAAAGAAGAGAACGCAAATGAAGTAACCTAGAAGAAGAAAAGCAATAGGAATTTGTTTATGTCCTTCTGTTTTCTCTGTTGCCGTCTTTGGTTCCAGCCTCAGACTTGCTTATATCAACAGGGAGGAGAACGTGTATTCAGTGAAATACTTATCTCTTGAAAAAGAAGATAAGGCGGCTGGGCACAGTGGCTCACACCTGTAATCCCAGCACTTTGGGAGGCCGAAGCGGGTGGATTACAAGGTCAGGAGTTTGAGACCAGCCTGGCCAATATGGTGAAATCCCATCTCTACTAAAAATACAAAAATTAGCTGGTGTGGAGGCGGGTGCCTGTAGTCCCAGCTACTTGGGAGGCTGAGGCAGGAGATTTGCTTGAACCCGGGAGGTGGAGGTTGCAGGTTGCAGCGAGCCAAGATCACACCACTACACTCCAGCCTGGACGACAGAGTGAGACTCCCTCTCACCCTCTCAGATAAGGGATAATGGAGATTGCACAAAACACACACCAAACAACACAGCAAACGTTTGGTCCGACATATCCCACAACAACAAAAAAAAACATGGAGCAATCCAGACAACGAGAGGGCATAACAGGAAGCAGTGATAGTGTCCTCAGGAAGGACAAAGCTGAGAGAAGAGTCAGGAAGGGGAGAGAGGAGGAGACATGGAAAATGGAGACACCAAGGGAGGCCTGGAGGCCAGAGAAGTGAGGGTCGACACTGGATCTTGACTAAGGCTGCTGGAAATCTTTACAGATTGCTAAGAAGAGAATCTAGAACACAGTTTTGCCCTGACAAGGGCTGGGTCAAGCTTTGAAACTGCAATGAAATTTTACTAAAGAAAAAACAAAGCTTTACGTACACTAAACACAACAATGTGACACCCCCTCCAAACTTATTAAAGAATTTGAACACATTACAACAAAATGTTGACTTCTGATACCCTTAAAAGAGGTACCATATTCTAGTCAAATGTCTCTAAAATTGTATGCTTGTTGAGAAACATTTATTTTTCAGGATTATGTCCTTATTTCCTTCTACAATTTTCTACTGTTGACAACTGTGGTCACCTTGTTCCAGTTCATGTTATCAAAACAGGTTACTGTTTTCTTGCGCTTTAGTCCTCAGAGATGATCATCCAGGGTCTCTTTCTAGGGTGTAAAACCTGGCATATCAAGTTTGGGTCATGTAACAGAAGCTGTTCTAGTCATAGGATCAAGGCCTTTTTAGCTGGAAGGCTATACCCTTAACAGCACCAGCATCACTTGGCCCAGGAGACGAGGGAGATGCCACAAGAATCTTGTTCTTTGTATTGTTCCAGGTTTTACCCAGGCTCCAAGTGGGCCTGTAGAGCTCTAAGAAATGGTTCCTTTAGGACTAATTCTATGTATTCTTGGTAATTATCACGAGGGCAGAAGATGCCATAGTCAAGCTATTCATTACAAGGGGCGGAGGGGGGGAACATCTCAGAAAGTCCTACACAAAATGGAAACCATGTGCAATGGCTATTCTAAAATGAAATATTATGTGCATATTATTGGCTTCAGAAATAACTGCAGAAGCTTTACCATACTCTTATAGTTTAAATTTATTCATTTATTTTTTTGAGACAGGGTTTCACTGCTACGCTACCTAGGTTGGACTCCTGGGCTCAAGCAATCCTCCCACCTCAGTCTGCTGAGTAGTTGGGAGGATGTGTATGTGCCACTGAGCCAGCTACTATCATTTAAATGTATTCAGCTTTGCAAATACTAACGCATTGCCTGGAATGCAGTTGCACTCTTGGCTCTGAAGTCCTCCAGAAGGTCTGCAACTGCACCCAAGTGCCCATTTGCTGGGACCTAGAGTCTCACTGGGCCTCCCCCTAGCTCTGCTACGTAGCCCTGGGTGCTCAACTGGCAGAGGCCTGGGCTGCAGCCCTGATGTGGTGGTCTGCCAAACACAGGCTCCTGCCAGAGGGGAGGATGGTGACGAGAAATGGCTTGGGATCTGCAGGCAGCTTCTCTTCTCTTAAGCAGCCAGGAGAGAAGGAGGGCTGCACAGATAGAGGGAAGAGGGAGGGTGTTGGATGAGGCAGAGTACAGGACTGACATTACAGGTGTATGAGAGTGAGTAATGACGAGAATGAGGTCATATATTATCCTCAAATTACCTGAGCGAGGGGGGAAAAGAATGATGGATAGGTCAGTTTAGGGATGCCCTAAATATGAAGTTTTACAAAGTTAATTTTTGAGACAAGGGATTCCCATATTTGAGATGAGCGTTCTGCCATAGTACCCTCCAGGCGCTAATGAGCCAGAGATTCAGCTTCCAGTGCCTACTGCCTGCCTGGGTGAAGATGAGGGTACAGAACAGGGTTCAGTCTGGTGGAGGTTTGCAAAGTCTTGTGGGGAGGGCAGAAACCAATAACCTAGGGTCAGCCTAATGGCAGACATTACCCATCTTGCTTGCTGGTTGCCAGCCACTCTGCTGAACACATAAAATGCTGACACCAGGATTTAAATTCCTACTGGGAAAAGGTATTTAAATAATCTGAAGACCCTGGATACAATCATCCTGGAACAGATTAGAACCTTTCTACTAAAGTCTTAGAATTGATCCAGACTCCTGACAAACCTTGGTGTGAACAACAGAAACCATGTGATTGGTCCGGCCCGGTGCTTGGTCTCTGACTATGGCACCAACAATTACTGGTTAACAGATACCAAAAGATCCTGCCATGGAAGTTTCTTTATAGTAGAGTTAAATGGTGAAAGGTGGCAATGTGGCCTTCAATATCTGTCCTTTCCTTCAATACAATAGTGAAACATATTGGGACCTCTAACCCTTAGCAACCTATTTATATCTTCAGGCCACACATCTTAGAATAAAAGCTTTATCCTCTCTAAACTTTCTGGAGGTTCTTCTAGTTTGAGCATCTGAAGATACTAGGTTCACTTTATTATCTCCTCAGATTTCATTTGTTCAAATGGAAGAGCTTTAAATTTTTGAGCTCTTCTTTCATTGAAGGATTCTGATTATTTTTTGTGGTTCTTCTTTGGGCCTTTCCATTTCAGTTAGGGTCTCTGGAGGAGTGACAGCCCAAACCAAAGGATCACTTGGTTGAAGGAGCCCAGATTCTGTTTGCTTCAGCATTTTTCTGATCTGCCCAGACATGGCCACACCCTGGACTGGTGCCTCCAGGGGTTCAGCTACATAGATTCCCATTATTTTTCCCAAATGGAGACTACAAATTATAGTCTTTCTATATTTTCCATGTATTCTGCATTTTCTCCAAAAATCCAAGACAGGTGCCTGGAGCTGGACTGTTTTTTGTTATTCTAGTTATTGTCAGCTACTTAGGCAATGATGCCTCCTCTCAGACAACGATACTGAAAGACTCAAACAACAGATCCCCTTTGGGTCCAAGGTCTAATCTGATGTATTATACAAGGAAAGCAGCTCTGAGCTATTTTTACTTTTAGGAAATACTACATAGTCCGAGATTAAATAGTATTATGTAGCGTGTGGGGCACTTGCTTTTTCTGCGAACTAGGTATTGCTTTTGACATAATATAGTTACCATCAAGTTTTTGACATAAATCTTTTTTCAAGTTCATATTATCATTCCAATTTTTAAAGTTATTAGTAATCTTAGGATGGTTGTATATTTTGAACATTTAACAAATATTAATACCTTATTAAGCCTCACTATAACTACAGAACTAAGAATATATTATTTTTCCTTTAACCCTCAGCATCCATGTGAAGAATAGTCAAGTGACAACAGTATATCAGAATCCTAAAGAATTAGAAAATGAAACTTGCCTGATAACCACTTCATTTGTGTTGCTCAGTTCAACCACCAACACAGATGGTGATGCTTCAGTTGGAATCATTAAAGGAGGAACTGTTATGTCCTCCATAAAGGTATTAGCGCTTTCAGCAATATTTTCTTCTATCTGCAAATACTCTTGTTCAACCATAGCCTTGATATCATGATCACCATGTGCTTGCCCTGCATCCGTTTGGATTTTGTCAGCAGGCAATGGAAGTTTAGCATAGAGAATGGCCTTCTGAGGATTTCCAGAAATGTAGTCTATGGTGCATACATCAGAAAGTGAGGAAAGATTTTTTAAGGCATCCTCAGGGAATTTCACTTTGTACATTTCCTCAAATGCTTTTGGGAGTGCACTGGCCCAAAGGCCACTTGTGTATTTCACCAGCAGCTCTGCCACTTTTTCTTTAAAGTCTCCTGCCACAACTGTTGGACACCCTTTCAATGGTGGTGTTTGTTTGGGAGCAGGTAGTGGGGATGGAGGTACTTTCTCAGTGTCCAGTTCACTTCTCAAAAGCTGCTTTCTCTTAGCTGGATAAAGAAGTAAATCTTGGCCACCACTGCAAGGTTTCTCCACCTGAAATTTTTAAATAAAGCAAATGACAGATATTTCAGTGACTATAAACAACCCACAAGCACATTAATGTATTTTAAATTTGAGAGTTGTGCTGTTTTCAAATTAATCAAGCGTACATTTTACTCTTTTCAATTGCTAGGAATTTAATGCATTATCTTCACGAGCCACATTTCAGAAATAAACAGGAAAATAAAATAGTATTAAATTCACTTGTGTGGCATCGAGACTCCAGCTGCCCTAGAAAATCACGAGTGCTCGGCCCTGCAACGCGTACTCTCATTTAGTTGTCTCTGCCAAATCCAAAACAATAGCTTACAAAACTGACTGAAAATAAGTTGTGAAAATGTATTAAAACTGTCAGGAATAAACCACTGGGAAGAAAACTAGAAAATATTTAGACAAAATAGGAGTGCCATCTCTCTTCTTCCTGCAATAGCCTGAGAAAACCCTTGTCTTTCCATTATTTAGAAAAAGATGCTCCAGAGATAAAGTACAGTTTTAAAACCACCACAGCAGAAAGTTGAGCTGCAAGTGTTGTCACCCTAACGAACAAATATTAAAAATACCTGGCACTCGTATATCATCCAATCTTGAATTTTTGTTTGCATGCCATTCCTAAGAGGCACAGCTTGATGACATATTTTTATGTAAGAGAAGAAAGAGAAGAGAAACCGATGTATGGCATCATTTTTATCCCTGAGTTTTAAGCCTTTCTACTACTAGAGCAGGGGTCAGCTCTACTATTAGAGCATGGCCCAATGCAGTTCATGGCTCATGAGCTAAAGAATGATTTTTATATTTTCAAATGCTTGAAAAAAATTCAAAGAATTATTTCATAACTTGTAAAAATTATATGAAAGTCAATATACATAAAGTTTTATTGGAACATAGTCATGCTCCTTTATTTACATATTCTCTCTGGCTGCTTTTGCTCTACAGTGGCACAGTTGAATAACTGTGATGGACTGCATCTGTCAGTTGCAGCTCTTGGCCTGCAGAGCCTACATATTTACCATGGACCTTTACAAAAGCAGTTTCTTGAACCCTGTACGAGACCATTAGACTGAAGTTAAAATTCCCTGCCTTCCAAAATGTTTCTATTTTGTCAGATCTTATTTTACCTACTCCTTAGCTGCAATTTAAATCCTTAGGGTAATAATTACAAGTTTACAGGAACCATGGTCCACCTAGAAGAACAGAATATTAAAGTATGCTGGTTAGGGAGCTTATTAGTAAAGAACACCGACTTTTTACTTCACTCTCCTCTTCATTCCTTTGCCAATGTATGCTTAAATTTCGAGGACTGAGGAAAACTTCTACACCTGGAAAGCCTAAAGCATCACTGAAAGTAGAGGTCTTATGGCACCTCCTGTAATCTGTGATGGTCTCCTGCTGGCACTCTGTGAATCCTCTAAACGGCATGTTATATGATTGGCACAGTTTATGTCCCTTATTTTAAGCCATAGGGACACAAATAGTTGGAGCATTCCTCATCTTTCTCTTGATGGTTAGTCCACTTCTCTAGAGACCCATTATGCACATAATCTGAAATCTTAAAATGCCAATCTTCGCTGCGCTTTATGACACTCAATAAGATACAAGAATACAGATTAGGTATCCAGAGATTTGAAACGCACACTTTTGGAGTCAATGGAAAAAGAAAACAGCATTATAAGTGAGTGATTAACTTGTCATATAGAACCCCAATTAGTGTAGTCAGTCATGCATCACTTAATGATGGGAATACATTCTCAGAAACGTGTCGTCCGTTTGTTGTGCAAACATCATAGCGTGCACTTATACAAACCTAAATGGTATAGTCTACTCCATGATACAGGTGCATTATAATCTTTTTTTCCTTCTAAAAAAAATGGGATAAATGTGCAGAACGTGCAGGTTTGTTACACAGGTATACATTTGCCATAGTGGTTTGCTACACCTATCAACCTGCCCTCTAACTTCCCTCCCCTCAACCACTACCCCCAACAGGCCCTGGTATGTGTCGTTCCCCTCTCTGTATCCATGTGTTCTCAATGTTCAACTCCCACTTAGGAGTGAGAACATGTGGTGTTTGGTTTTCTGTTCCCGTGTGAGTTTGCTGAGGATGATGGCTTCCAGTTTCATCCATGTCCCCACAAAGGACATGATCTCATTCCTTTCTATTGCTGCACAGTATTCCATAGTGTGTATGCACCATTTTCTTTATCCAGTCTATCACTGACGGGCATTTTGGTTGGTTCCATGTCTTTGCTATTGTAAAGAGCACTGCAATAAACATACTTTGTGGCCAGGCGCGGTGGCTCACGCCTGTAATCCCAGCACTTTGGGAGGCCAAGGCGGGCAGATCATGAGGTCAGGAGTTCGAGACCAGCCTGACCAACATAGTGAAACCCTGTCTCCACTAAAAATGCAAAATATTAGCTGGGTGTGGTGGCAGGTGCCTGTAATCCCAACTACTTGGGAGGCTGATGCAAGAGAATCACTTGAGCCCGGGAGGCGGAGGTTGCAGTGAGCAGAGATCATGCCATTGCATGCCAGCCCAGGTGACAGTGCGAGATTCTGTCTCAAAATATATATATGTGTGTGTGTGTGTGTGTCTTTATAGTAGAATGATTTATATTCCTTTGGGTATATACCCAGTAATGGAATTGCTAGGTCAAATGTATTTCTGATTCTAGATCCTTGAGGAATCGCTGCCATAATGTCTTCCATAATGGTTGAACTAACTTTCATTCCTATCAACAGTGTAAAAGTGTCCTATTTCTCCACAGTCTCACTAGCATTGTTTCTTGACTTTTTAATAATTGCCATTCTGACTGGCATGAGATGGTGTCTCATTATGGTTGGTTTTGATTAGCATTTCTCTGATGATCAGTGATGCTGAGCTTTTTTCATGTTTGTTGGCTGTGTAAATGTCTTCTTTTGAGAAGTGTCTGTTCATATCCTTTGCCCACTTTTTGATGGGGTTGTTTTTTTTCTTGAACGTCTGTTTAAGTTCCTTGTAAATTTTAGATAATTATTAGACCTTTGTCAGATGGGTAGTTTGCAAAAATTTTCTCCCACTCTGTAGGCTTCCTGTTCACTCTGATGATAGCTTCTTTTGCTGTACAGAAGCTCTTTAGTTTAACACCATTTATGAATTTTGGCTTTTGTTGCAATTGCTTTTGGTGTTTTTGTCATGAAGTTTTTGCCCAGGCCTACGTCCTGAATGGTGTTGCATAGGTTTTCTTCTAGGGTTTTTAAGGTTTGGGGCTTTACATTTAAGTCTTTAATTCATTCTGAGTTATTTTTTGTATAATGTGTAAGGAAGGGGTCCAGTTTCAGTTTTCTGAATATGGCTAGCCAGTTTTCCCAGCATCATTTACTGAATAGGAGATCCCTTCCCCATTGCTTTTGTCAGGTTTGTTGAAGATCAGATGGCTGTAGATGTGTGGTGTTATTTCTGAGGTCTCTGTTTTGCTCCATTGGTCTATATGTCTGTTTTGGTACCAGTACCATGTTGTTTTGGTTACTATAGCCTTCTAGTATAGTCTGAAGTCAGATCGTGCAATGCCTCCAGCTTTGTTCTTTTTGCTTAGGAACGTCTTGGCTCTATGGGGTCTTCTTTGTTTCCATATGAAATTTAAAATAGTTTTTTCTAATTCTGTGAAGAATGCCAATGGTAGTTTGATGAGAATAGCACTGAATCTATAAATCACTTTGGGTAGTATGGCCATTTTCATGATATTGATTCTTCCTCTCCATGAGGATGGAATGTTTTTCCATTTGTGTCCTCTCTTATTTCCTTGAGCAGTGGTTTGTAGTTCTCTTTGAAGAGGTCCTTCATGTCCCTTGTTAGATGTATTCCTAGGTATTTTATTCTCTTTGTAGCGGTTGTGAATGGGAGTTCATTCATGATTTGGCTCGCTGCTTATCTATTGTTGGTGTAAAGGAATGCCTGTAATTTTTGCATGCTGATTTTGTATCCTAAGACTTTGCTGAAGTTGCTTATCAGTTCAAGAAGCTTTTGGGCTAAGATAATGGGGTTTTCTAAATATAAAATCATGTCGTCTGCAAAGAGAGACAACTCAGCTCCGTCTCTTCCTATTTGAATACTCTTTCTTTCTTTCTTTTGCCTGATTGCCCTGGCCAGAACTTCCAATACTATGTTGAAAAGGAGTGGTGAGAGAGGGCATCCTCATCTTGTACCAGTTTTCAAAGGGAATGCCTCCAGCTTTTGTACATTCAATATGATACTGGCTGTGATTTGTCATGAATAGTTCTTATTATTTTGAAATACATTCCATCAATACATAGTTTATTCAGAGTTTTTAACATGGAGGGATACTGAATTTTATCAAAGGCCTTTTCGGCATCTATTGAGATAATCATGTGGTTTTTGTCTTTGGTTCTGTTTATGTGATGGATTACATTTACTGATTTGCATATGTTGAACCAGGCTTGCAACCCAGGGATGAAGCTGACTTGATAGTGGTGGATAAGTTTTTTGACGTGCTGCTGGATTCAGTTTGCCAGCATTTTCTTGAGGATTTTTGCATTGATGTTCATCAGAGATATTGGCCTGAAGTTTTTTTGTTGTTGTTGCATCTCTTCTCAGTTTTGGTACCAGGATGACACTTGCTTCATAAAACGAGTTAGGGCAAAATCCCTCCTTTTCAATTGTTTGGAATAGTTTCAGAAAGAGTATATCAGTTCCTCTTTGTATTTCTGGTAGAATTCAGCTGTGAATCCATTTGGACCCAGGTTTTTTTGGTTGGTAGGCTATTAATTACTACCTCAATTTCAGAGCTCGATATTGGTCTATTAGGGGATTCGACTTCTTCCTGGTTTAGTCTTGGTAGCGTGTATGCATCCAGGAATTTATTCATTTCTTCTAGATTTTCTAGTTTATTTGTGTAGCGGTGTTTATACTATTCTCTGATGGTAGTCTGTATTTCTGTGGGGTCAGTGGTGATATCCCCTTTATCGTTTTTTATTGTGTCTATTTGATTCTTCTCTCT